TTATTCCTAGTTATATGTACATGTCTACCTCAATGACCTCGTAGCCCTGCACATCGACTCGCTACTGGTGCCCTTGCATATAGCAACGTTATAGTTACTCATTGTGTATCTATTATTACTTTCATCATTTTACTTTTCTATTCTTTCTCTATTTTATTTCTCTCTGCATTGTTGGGAAGGGCCCATAAGTAAGAATTTCACTATTAGTCCACACCGGTTGTTTACGAAGCATGTGACGAATACTATTTTATTTTATTTGAAAATAAACCCTCCTACCACAAGCACATTCACACTCATACACACTGCATATACAGTATAGGCCTAGTCTATATACTGTATGTATCGTCATTAGGAGAATTGGCAGTGTCAAGCAGCAGAAAGATGGTTATTCCATCCTCCCCCCACCATGCACCATGCTCTTCTGCTCCGCTGGACACCAACACACAGAGATCTTTACATAATGATTTAGCATGGGCCGCTGCCTGCGACTCACATCCAGGAGAGAGAGGAGATAGAAAGGAGAGACAGAGAGAGAGCTTTAATTGTCCAGTGCGCTCCATCGGCTCGAATATGAGAGGGGAGTTAAGGGATCGCAACCTTCAATCATTTATTAATTAAATAGGCCCTCGAATCACACTGTCACGTACACACACACACAGCACAGAGTTCATTCAGGAGCCAATGGTATCAAGTGCCATATTTCAGCAGGGTGGTGTTAGAAAGGGAGGGAGACAGTGACAGAGTCATTCACCCATAACCACTGAGAGGTGACACACCAGGGTGAGCAGATCTGCGTTCCAAAGGGCACCTTATTCCCTTTATAGTGCATTACTTTTGACCAGGGCTCTGGTTAGAATTACTGCACTTTATAGGGATTAGGGTGCCATTTAAGACACTGTCCAGGTCTTAGGGAGGTCCTGTCAACAGTAAGCTTCCCTACCTCTACCTCTCCCAGGCCAGAACAAGAACTAAACCCTCTCAACCCTTTCATTTCTCTGACTGCATCTTTCACTGTGTTTGGTGCCTATTAGTTGTGTTGTTTTTTAAACAAAGCGCCTCTGTCATTGTGGATGACTGTTTCATCTCCTTGGCTGGGTTAATGTTGGGCAGATGAAGAGGAAGGCAGAGGGAGGTAGGGGGAAGCGAAAGAATGGAGAGAGGCAGAGGGACAGCGGGAGGGAGGCAGATGAGTAAGTGAGAGAGGCAAAGAGAGAGGGAGAGAGAGAGGGAAGCAGATGAGGGAGGCAGTAGTCCATGAAGTCTCCTCCAGCGGCGCTGAAAGCCAATTCGGGTGCATCTGATTGGCGTAATCACAGTCAGTTTCGGCTAGGCTCAGTGTAGGATTCTGCTGTCTTCTGAGCATGCTGTCACCCAAGCACCATGGACTGGAGGGGATGAGAGGATGTGGGGGTGGGATTGAGTTGGAGGATAGAAGTGGGAGGCCTACAGATCCCGTGAAATGGGACAGTTCCCTTCCTAGCCCCCAGTAAAGGAAATGGGACAGATCTCCTCTTAGCCCCCAGTAAAGGAAATGGGACAGGTCTCCACTTAGCCCCCAGTAAAGGAAATGGGACAGGTCTCCTCCTAGCCCACAGTAATGGAAATGGGACAGGTCTCCTCCTAGCCCCCAGTAAAGGAAATGGGACAGGTCCCCTTTTAGCCCCCAATAAAGGAAATGGGACAGATCCCCTCCTAGCCCCCAGTAAAGGAAATGGGACAGATGCCCTCCTAGCCCCCAGTAAAAGAAATGGGACAGGTCCCCTTTTAGCCCCCAGTGAAGGAAATGGTAGTGTTAGGGTTAGCTTTGGGTCGAAATCTTGCACAATAACCTACAGGAGCATATCTGCTTGTCAGCTCTGAATTCTTTCCCTGGGTTTGGTTTGTGAGTGCTAGTGTGCCTTAAACAGGGAAGCTGAAATGATGGCAGGCAATGTGCGGCTTGTCTGCCAGAGGGGCCAGGAGGCGTGGGCTACGCTGAGCCTCTCTCCTCCCCCTCTTCTCCTCCTCCCACGCACCTGTCACCGCGCTCTGTTCCCCACCACTCTACAGCACAGCTCAGCTCCAGTGAACACATGCACGGCAGAGAAATGCTCATCCATGGTTGTCTACTTCTTCCCTAATTGGCCAACTGTGTGAAGCCATCTTGAAGCCTTTGCAGTATGTTGAAGAATTATGACTGGGGTTTAGCATATTAAAACAAGTCCCATTGCATAAGCATCACTTCTGAGAAGGAGGAAGTCAAGTTGGTCTGACTCTACAACACTGGAAGCTGGGACACACATACACACTTCCCTATATATCACTGCGAGGGGGTGGGGTGGGGTGGGGGGAGAAATCAATCGATGCTGTGGCTTTGTGAGCGGAGGGCCCTGTACAACAGCAGATAGATATTCTCCCGCTCTCTTTCCCTCTCTCCACAAACTCCCACGTGCCTTTTCAAATCCCCGTCATCCCAGCATGGGCCTGCTGTTGCTTGGCAACCCACGGTCTCTCGCTCTCTCACTGTGAAAGCAGACGTTCTCGACGACCAACCGCTCGGCTTGGGAGAGAAGTCCTCATGAAACGTAACACACATAATCATAGAGTAACATGGTTCCCAAAAAAGATATGTGTTGCTATGGTGATCCCAGTCTCTCTCTCGGCTGTAAGTGGTTCCTAGAGTGTAGGCAGCAGTGAGCGGTAGAGAGGGTTGGCTGGGAAGGGAAGCATGCTCAGCTCAGGATCATTGCTAGACTTTGAGGACAGCCAATAGTTTCAAGCTAACGTGTCACCATCTGATACAGGATGGAGGGGGATGAGGGGTACTGTCAAATTAACAGTGGGGGGTTCGCACCAATCCATTCAGCCACTGAACTGCCTGGATAGTGATCTCCTTCTGGTATCTGGTAGAACACGATGAAACGTGGGCTGTATCTTTTGATCTAAAATTAGATGAGTCATCATCAAATCATAGGCCTGGCAATTATCAGAATGGGGTAATTAAATGTCAGAGAAGAAGAGATAGGGTGAGGGTGTGCATTAATCCTTACAGGTCTATTGAATTGAAGTAACAAAATAAAAAAATCTATCAGTTTAAGCTAGAGATATGTTTTTTTGCATGGGCTGCATCTCAATCCACCGCATCTGCCTGTGTCAGCCTTCCGCATCTGCGGTGGAAGATGGCCTAGCGGTCCCACGGGACTCGTCTGAAGTCAGTAACGCCGATGTGCCAACTTCTGTCTGTAGTGTCCGAACCGTTTGGGCTACAAACTAATATCACCCCACTGTGGAAAGGGGAGAATCTCACGATGGTGTTCTCAGTTTTGCGCTACGACCCCCACAAGTGTCACAGGACTCATCTGAAGGTAACCCATACAAATGAATGGCCAACAAAAATAAGGGTTAAATAGGTGTCCAAAAAAACAAAACATTTCCTGAGCTTTCTTAGATCTCCTAGATATAGGCCAGACACTTCAAAACCTTATGATACATTTATTTTCTTTTTACTGTCTTTTTTGCCATTTAAGAATGTGTTATTCAATGTGTTTCTATGGGCTATAGTAGTAATGGCCAAATTCAATATTTTATCAAATCATTTTATCTTTATACCAAAAGAGGTCCTAAAATTCCAAATCAAATAGCTAAATGATCCTTGGTATGACCATCTTAAAACAATTCCATATACGGCTTAGACTTTTAGAGGTTAATAAGTTAAAGGACAGAATCTTCAAGGAGAGACATTTGTATTATCAAACCTGTCCTATTCTAATGTAAAACAAATTCACTCAGTGTCGTAACTGACAGATATGCATGCACAACGCACACAAAGGAAAGGGTGGGAGAGTTATAAGGTTAAAGTTCATGGTATTTTATTGAAAAAAAAAACAAAAAAAAAGACTAGCATGTACAACTTGGAATGAACGTAAACTGAACTCAAAATGAACAGTCTAGAGAAGACTCTGGTGTTGAAGACCCTATGATGCGCTGTAGGTCACTCAAAACCCACACGCAACCATGGTCAGAGTCGAGAAACAGAAGGTAGAAACATTGACAGTACATCCGCGTTCCCTTGCCAAAAAACAAAGAGTTCCCCTAGCAGGTAAAAAGAGTCAGGACCAACCCGACTCTCCAGCACGCCTCCCACCCTCCAATCCTACCCAAGGTTCCACGCACAACAAGGAAACAGAACTTCAAATATTCCCAACATGCCAAACATAGTTCTAAATTGATTTATTTTGTAAATGCTCATTATCTTAAAAATATCTCTTTTTGTAATGAATTCAGCAAACTGCAAAGGTCCCATTAATTCCATCTCTATGTGAGTTTAGTACAGTGGAGGCTGCTGAGGGGAGGACGGCTCATAATAATGGCTGGAATGGAATCATACCCATGGAAACCATGCGTTTGATACCATTACACCAATTCCGCTCCCGCCATTACCACGAGCCCGTCCTCCCCAATTAAGGTGCCACCAACCTCCTGTGGTTTAGTATGACTGACCCCCCCCCCCCCCCCCCCCACACACACACACCCCTATCTCTTCTGAGCTCGTCTCTGTCTCTCAATATAGACTGTACCAAAACCCACCAACGGTACCCACGGCACCGCTGTAGAATCAGAGTGAGCCCATTGGCCAGACTGTGGCACCAGTCTCAAGCTGCATGCATGAAGAACAGAAACAGGAAGAAAAAAAACAAAATTGGCCAGCCCAAACATTACCACTAGCAACTGAAACCAATAGGCAGGTCACCAAGTGCTTTCTTTAGTTGTTGACATTTTGTTTACAGGTATTATTTATCTTATTACTGATGTCTAAACTCATCTTTGGGGACAGGACCACTAACCAGTACATGCAGATAATTCATTTTTTTTTTTACTTCTTTTATGTGGACAGATTTGTCATTTTTCAACATTCAGTTATGTTTTCTATACAGAAACAGTATGATTTTTGCAAGAGGTAAGTAAAACATGACTGATTTTTTTTTGTCTTCTAAGGAGGCCAGGAGAAGGGTGGGAGAGCTTCATTTTGCTGTCATCATTTGTACAAATTCTGTGGACAAAAGAACAAAACAAAAACAGACGAGGAGAATGAACAGAAACCAACCAACCACTGATCAAGACAGAAATTACATTTCTCAGATCCAGACATAATCACATAAAACATGTCCGTCACAGACAAATTGAGACAGACAGATCATAAAACAATTCAATTAAACTGTTATCTGTCATAGTCACGGAGACTGTTTACGTAAGCCCAATATCCCATTACAGAGAGTGAGACCAATTCTATAAGAAAGAACAGGGGGCTCAGGATGGTAGAAAGGGATGAGAGAAGAGGGGGATGAGAGTGGTAGAGTGAAGAGGGGGATCGGGCAGTACAAAGTGATGAGAGAAGAGGTGGATTGGAGCTGTAGAAACAAAAGACTGCCTGTACTGTACATTAGCATGGTGAGGATGACTGAGTGGGTGACAGCTGTCCTGAATCAAGGCCCCCATAGGGACACTGCTGAGAACTACTGTACACTCCCACACAGCAGAACTAGATAGATAGAGTTAGACAGTTCCATTGTCCTCTTCTTACCTTCATAGTTGACCTGTCCGTCTCCGTCGATGTCGGCTTCTCTGATCATCTCATCGACCTCCTCGTCTGTTAACTTCTCTCCCAGGTTTGTCATGACGTGACGGAGCTCTGCTGCACTGATGTAACCGTTCCCATCCTGCAGGGGAGACGAGGTGAGATGTGTGAGTCTGTGACCTCACAGTAAACACACCTGCCGCCTGTCTTTTACAAAGGGACTTTAACATACTAGTGTAATTTATGTATGGAGTAAGAGCAACCATACAGGATATCACTGATCATATACTGCTTGACAAACAGTAGCAATGTATACATTGTCGATATTGAATGAGGTGAAGATAGATAGATATATATATATATATAAAATAAAAAACCCTCCCCCACACACACACGGCTGGCACAATCCTTACCTTGTCGAATACCCGGAACGCCTCGCGAATCTCCTCCTCGCTGTCTGTGTCCTTCATTTTCCTGGCCATCATAGTAAGGAACTCTGGGAAGTCAATGGTTCCGTTGCCTGGGAGATGGAGGGAGGGAGAGAGGATGAGGAAGTGGAGAGAGAGAGGGTTTAGCTTGATTATTGTAGACAGTTGGAAAGGGGGAGACCGGTAGAGGTGGATAGACAGAATTGATAGTTACTTATCTGGGATTAAAACCCCAGTTGAATGGGCCATGCATTGTCCAGAGCGGGCGGGGTTCTGTAGACCACTACAGCAGTGTAATAGGAGGGTCTCCAGGTACAGCCATGGGTATATAAAAGGGGCTTAGGCAGGGTTTTTTCTTGATCAAAGGGGCTTACGTGGTGGGCGTGGCAGGGGGCGCGGCTGAATTTAAGAAAAAATAATAGGCTCCCCCCATCTTGGCAGTGTAGAGACATTTTGGCATTTTTAAGCAAATGTCCTGCAATTCTAAAAATGTCTTCATAGAGCTGAGAGAAAATGTTGCAGTTTTAAAGCAAATTTCCTGCATTTTGCCATGGCTAATGCTGTGTTATTTTGCTCAAACATAAATCAATACTGCTAAATTAATTGTTTGGGGAATTTTTCAATTCTCACTGACTCTCTAGATTTGATTTTGGTGATTGTTAGTTCTCAAAGATTTATATTATTTAAAAAATATATAGTTCCATTATCTTTTCTACATACTTTATATCTGGTTTTAGTCATTTAACTTTACATTGAAAGAGTTTTTCCATCCCCCCCAAAAATAAATATATTATTTTACATTGTTTGGACTTAAGCGGCCCAAAACAAAGCTTAGGCACAAGTATTTAAATGGCAGAAAAACAGCTGAGGGCTGCAGGGATTTAAGTGTGTGTGATCATGTGTGTGATTCCTGGGAAAGACTGTTCTCCTGAGCACACAGCTGTCCCCTCCCCTGGTGGTGCATGGCTGATCTACAGTTCCCCAGTGAATCAAAGCACGCCTGTTCTGTTCTCCCCTCTGCATGTCCCCAGTGTGTGTGTGTGTCTGACTATTCCATTACATATACAGGGCAGTAGGCTTGGGCGATATACCGTATACTGGGGTATTTACACATACTGACGGCAGGATTTTCAATACCGTAAAAAAATACAATTAAAATAATTTGAGTTGGGGGGACTCCCTTGCCTTGCGAGGGCTGCGTGCTACGCCACTGCTTATAACTATAAGATAACTATCTAAGATGTGCCAAATAAATGATATTCAGCTCAGGGCTTTAGCTATGCAGTTGGTTTGCTAACTTGCTAGTCAAGTGGATAGATGGCAAGATCAAGCTTCTTGGTTACAGCAGAGACAATCAATTTCCCGCTTGCATTGAGATCCATGTTGCCTAAATAGTTTTGTGCTAAAGAAATTGACAACAAAAGAATAGCACCCCTTGTGTGCACTTCCGGTATTACAGCATATCCCGGTATGGTACAGAAACGGTATGAAAATCTGGATACCGCCCAACCCTACTGATCAGTACAGTACACAGACCGGTATGTGTGTTTCAGAGTGGGCTGTGTACTGTAGACCATTACAACAGGCTCTGGCAGGGGTTGAGCTGTCTCTAATGTAAAGCAGAGTGATCCATGATATGGTCACAGAGAGCGGTGCAGGCCACTGGATCAGAAAAACAGGGGGCCTGGCTAAACCCTTGGGAGAAGACACTCACACTAACACCGATCATAATTAACCTGGATTAGTCTGGGCTCGTCAGGAGGGTGTGTGTGTGTGTGTAACCCAGAGGTCTCCAGGTACAGCCCTCAGCTGTTTAAGTGTGTGTGATCATGTGTGTGATTCCTGGGAAAGACTGTTCTCCTGAGCACACAGCTGTCCCCTCCCCTGGTGGTGCATGGCTGATATACAGTTCCCCAGTGAATCAATGAACGCCTGTTCTGTTCTCCCCTCTGCATGTCCCCAGTGTGTGTGTGTGTGTGTCTGTTCTGTTCTCCCCTCTGCATGTCCCCAGTGTGTGTGTGTGTGTGTGTCTGTTCTGTTCTCCCCTCTGCATGTCCCCAGTGTGTGTGTGTGTGTGTCTGTTCTGTTCTCCCCTCTGCATGTCCCCAGTGTGTGTGTGTGTGTGTCTGTTCTGTTCTCCCCTCTGCATGTCCCCAGTGTGTGTGTGTGTGTGTGTCTGTTCTGTTCTCCCCTCTGCATGTCCCCAGTGTGTGTGTGTGTGTGTCTGTTCTGTTCTCCCCTCTGCATGTCCCCAGTGTGTGTGTGTGTGTGTGTCTGTTCTGTTCTCCCCTCTGCATGTCCCCAGTGTGTGTGTGTGTGTGTGTGTGTGTGTGTCTGACTATTCCATTACTTATACAGGGCAGTATATTACACAGTCTGGCTGTTCCCCAGTGAGTGTGTGTGCCTATCTTACTGTTGCATTCTATTAACCGGATGGGGCTGGGTCTCTCCTCAAGTATAGGCCGTATAATGCACAGACTGGCTGTTCCACCTTTCCCAGTGTGTGAATAAATTGACTGCTACTGTTGTTTGTGTGTAGGCAGGATCTACCACAGCTGCTGTGAGCTACTTCCCTGGGCCATGGGGCCTTAGAGAATGTACAGCCCAGCAGAGCAGAGCTCAGAGTGGATTATTACCTACTGCGGTTATTTAACTGGCTTTGTTGCAGCCAGTCGCTAGGTCTGCCTGACCTAGATAGTGACAGTCAGAGGAGAGGAGCCATGTTGTTCAATGACAACACTTCCAGTCCCAGCACTAACACAAGTAAGGCCGTGGATAAACTCATCAATAACTATCAATAACTTCTCAATAAGAAGCAATACTCATCACCATCGGGTTGACTTCCAGAAGGGAGAGCAGTATAGAGAGCAATAGTAATGGCGTCTTTTTGTAGACACCAACTCCACCATGGTTCGTTGGCTAAAGCCTATGGGAAAGTTGAGTTTTTGGATAAACAGTGAAAATAAGGTCTGTGGTAAACACAGGCTTAGGTGATCTTATACGTTTTGTTCTATGAGATAATCTTCATTAGCTAAAGTAACTTTTTGTGAATTTTGAAAGATTTATGTAATCAAAAAAAGCACATAAAAGGCTTCATAACTCATAGAACAAAACGTATAAGAAAACAAAACATAACCTCAGACCTTATTTTCAGAGTTTATCCCAAAAGCCTATTCTTTCACCATTCATTTTCACCATAGGAATGGCTGAACTCATTTAAATTTTTTAGGACTACAAGCTGGTGAACTATATAGTGACTGAACCGACACAAACACACACAGAAATTGAGTAGTACTTCAGCCACTCCTTATTTACATTCCCAGCTTTTACAGAAATCCCAGTTGGAGGATTCCCTCCTTCCCTCCTGCCCTATTCCAGGAATCCTCGACCCAGATTTCTGGAAAACCTGGGAACTTTATAACCCTAGTTGGACCCGCTCCAGGGTGATGTTTCCCATAGGTACAGATCTAGGATCAGCTTCCCCTCCCCCAATCCTAACCTTAACCATTACTGGGGGAAATGCTAAACTGCCCCAAGATCAGCGTGTGGGGAAACTTCTCCCTACACTGTTGGACCCTAGCAGGCGGAACTAACTCACCATCAGCGTCGACCTCGTTGATCATGTCCTGCAGCTCAGCCTCTGTGGGGTTCTGTCCCAGCGACCTCATCACAGTACCCAGCTCTTTGGTTGTGATGGTGCCGTCGCCATCCTTATCGAACAAGGAGAATGCCTCCTTGAACTCTGCAGAGAAGAAGATAGGCTAACTGTTGCTATTTGTGTGTCCAAACAAATACAAGGAAAAAGATCACAGCTGAGCTACAGTAAGAACTTCATTAGACAATTAGTCACTGACTTTTGAAATTGACTTTTATCTGATCTACACTCTTAGAAAAAAGGGTTATTTGGGGTTGTACAGTGCATTCGTAAAGTATTCAGACCCCTTCACTTCTAAAATGGCTTAAATAGTTTTTTCCCCCTCAACAATCTACACACAATACCCCATAATGACAAAGCAAAATCAGAATTTATTTGACAGTTAGTATTCAGACCCTTTACTCAGTACTTTGTTGAAGCACCTTTGTCAGCGATTACAGCCTCGAGTTTTCTTGGGTATGACGCTACAAGCTTGGCACACCTGTATTTGGGGAGTTTCTCCTATTCTTCTCTGCAGACCCTTTCAAGCTGTCAGGTTGGATGGGGAGCGTCGCTGCACAGCTATTTTCAGGTCTCTCCAGAGATGTTAGATCGGGTTCAAGTCTGGGCTCTGGCTGGGCCACTCAAGGACATTCAGACTTGTCCCAAAGCCACTCCTGCATCGTCTTGGCTGTGTGCTTAGGGTCGTTGTCCTGTTGGAAGCTGAACCTTCTCACCTGTCTGAGGTCCTGAGCATGTTTTCATCAAGGATCTCTCTGTGCTCTGTTCCGTTCATCTTTCCCTCGATCCGGACAAGTCTCCCAGTTCCTGCCGCTGAAAAACATCCCCACAGCATGATGCTGCCACCAGCATGCTTCACCGTAGGGATGGTGCCAGGTTTCCTCCAGACGTGACGCTTGGCATTCAGACCAGAGTTCAATTTTCGTAATCTTGTTTCTCATGGTCTGATAGTCCTTTAGGTGCCTTTTGGCAAACTCCAAGCGGGATGTCATGTGCCTTTTACTGAGGAGTGGCTTCCGTCTGGCCACTACCATAAAGGCCTGATTGGTGAAGTGCTGCAGAGATGGTTGTCCTTCTGGAAGGTTCTCCCATCTCCACAGAGGAACTCTGGAGCGCTGTCAGAGTGACCATCAGGTTCTTGGTCACCTCCCTGGCCAAAGCCCTTCTCCCCCGATTGCTCAGTTTGGCCGGGCGGCCAGCTCTAGGAAGAGTCTTGGTGGTTCCAAACTTCTTCCTTTTAAGAATGATGGAGGCCACTGTGTTCTTGAGGATCTTCAATGCTGCAGAAATATTTTGGTACCCTTCCCCAGATCTGTGCCTCGACACAATCCTGTCTCGGAGCTCTAAGGACAATTCCGTTGACCTCATGGCTTGGTTTTTGCTCTGACATGCATTGTCAACTGTGGGACCTTATATAGACAGGTGTGCCTTTCCAAATCATGTCCAATCAGTTACATTTACCACAGGTGGACTCCAATCAAGTTGTAGAAACATCAAGGATGCGCAATGGAAACAGGATGCACCTGAGCTCAATTTCGAGTCTCATAGCAAAGGGTCTGAATACTTATGTAAAAGGTATGTTTAAAAAAATATATATATATCTATAAACTTGTTTTCGCCAGAGTCAGCCAGAGTTGGTACCAAGACTGACGTGGGCCATCATTCAAACAAAGAGATGCCTCCCTGGCTACCAGTGCATATTTCCAAAGTATGTTTGCATATAATGACAATAAAATCTCAAAACTATGCTGGTATTCTTTTGTCCATTATTTAATTGTTTATTATATTATAAGCAAAAAATATTACTATCTAAGTAGTAGCCATAATTCATAAATGTCACCATACAGGGTTCTATATTCCAATTTTGGTTCAGTCAAGAAGAACCCGTCGGGTTCTGATCAAAGAACCCTATAAAAGGGTTCTATATAGAACTTTTAGGGGTTCCATAGATGAAGAAAGCGACAGAACACTATTTGGTTCTATAAGGAACCTTTTTTTCCTAAGAGTGTAGGCTACTTAATTAGGTTAAGGTTTCAACCAGTAATAATCACACCTAAGATTGACCTCCTGGGCTATGAGATGACCTCTGCTTGAAAGGATTACATTTGTTCAATGTACAGGTGAGCAGATAAAAGTATTGTCAACAACAGGTATGTCTGCTAGATCTCTGTCTGCCATTATTGAGGTATCTGCCCATTATTAGGGCCGTATAATATCTGCGTTGCGGAGAACGTGGATGGAATCACGGAATCCAGACATTAAAATAGAATTCCACAATGTTCAAAAATGTATTAAACTTGCTAGGAAATTAACTAAACGTATTGAATTTATTTTAAAAAATGCATTAATTTTCCCAAGATTATCACAAGACATGAACAAAATGCATCAGTGATTAATTTATTCCTTCAACTTTTTGAAGAGGCAACAGCACAGGAATGCCGCTCTCTGTGTGTGTGCGTGCGTTGGTCTACCACTTTGTGTAGACGTTAGTGATGATGCTAATGTAATGTTTACATCAGTGGTCAGGAGCTAGCAGACATGCCTCACTCACATTAAATATTCATACACAGCTCAAATGTGTGTGTGTGCTGAACTGCTTACCCGCAATCTGCTCCTCTGTTAGTTGGTCGGCCTGAGGAGGACAAAAAGAGGGAGAGAGGGGAAAAAGATAAATGGCTGACGACTCTGAACACAAGCAGCACTACAGAAAACTGCCCAATTTCTACCCTTTCCTATCCCAGCCCACCTCTGAGCAGCAGATATTAGCCAGTGATCTCTGAGCAACAGATCATATATTATGTAGCCACGGTAATGATCCATCTAAGGCAGAGCAGAGAATACAGTAACCTGATGCCACGGAGGAGAGGCCAGGCCAATCATTGCACAGCAGTTTAACATGTATGTTGATTGGTTCCTCTGCCGCTCTGCTCACCACTAGAGCACGACCAATGCCAATTTTTGCGAGTCAAGGAGGTCCATGGCCAATATTTTATGCCGATAAATAATATAATTTTTACATTTTGATGAGACATTTTTCCAGAGACAACCATGTATGCAATAACAAATCAATTATACAAACACAATCAATTTTACTTTATTTTTAAACAAGTTAACTACATAACGGTAAACATTTAAAAATGGTCAATCTCTTGATAAACTGGTTAAATCAAGATGGCACAGGTGAGTTCATATTCAATAGGAGTGTATGCATGCATTGAGTTATTGAGCTTGTTTTAGCTGATTCCAGTGGTCTTTGGGGCTACAGATGACAAACAATCTGTTTCCCTTTCATTTGGGACTATGTTAGGCCTACTGAACATTATACCCTGATGAAGACAGCTTGTCGGTCGAAACATTGGTTATTAAATTATTGCATCTGAGCTCCTAGAGTGTGCGGCTCTCCTTTTTTTTTTTCTCTCCAAGTGTTCTAATCCGCTAGCCAGCACCTCGCCTAAACCGATGTGTGTTTCTTTCGCCTCCAGATAGGCCTACTGATCAACAACATTTTCATATAAGTAGCCTTGTGTTTTCTTTTATAAAAATGTGTGTTGTCACCTTTAAGAGAAAAGGCACCGCTTGTGTATCATGTAGCCAGGCAGTTTGGCTTGTGTAGTTCAACTTGGGTAGTTCGTCTTGGCACGGGAAAGACATGTAGCTAGCCAACTCAGTGAATTAACAACATTTTTGGTGACGATCAGCTTTGACATTAGCATATTTTGTGTTATGCTTTGCTATCACAAATGAAGTTCTAGGGTAACGTTAGTGAACTGACGTTAGCTTCATAGCTAGCAAAGTTAGCTCTTTGCTGAATGTTGTTGTTTACCTAGCTATCTAGAAAGCTACCGGTACGTTGCTTTGTAAAGTGCAGCAGCCTGTATGGACATTGTAAATTAATTACCACTTTCAACATTTGGTGTGGCATTATTAAAGTGTGCTAAATGTATATGCAGCATGAGTGGGTAGCTATAGCAAGCAGCCCAGATGTTCCTCAAGGACAGCAATGAGTGGTGCCGGCATGCAGGGAGTTTCTCGCGCTATAATGGGGAAAATCGGCCATGCCGATATTATCGGTTGTTCTCTACGAGTCACCACACAGCGGATCTGTTCCGCACTCATATTTACATTTCAACAACACAACTCATCTGCTGATGAGATATGAATACAATGATCACCTCGGGATGAAACCAGAAGTTTTCACTCCTCACGTCCCTCTACGGAGGTATGCCGGACACATTTCCCACTTGAATTTAATATAGGCCTACAGTAAAACACACAATGCATGAGGGCAGTAAAGACACTGGTAGTCACATATAGAGAATCATATAGGCTACACTTCATGCCAAACCAGCCATTTTCCCCACAATATCTGCTCTCACTCTACACGGCTACACAAGAGTAATGTCCAAAATTAGAGCCTGTTCTACCATCTTCGTTCCCAACACTAGAGCACACCACAGCAGGTACCCAATTAGATCACTCATACAGTATTCAACCAGTTTCAGCTTCCCCATCACTCATGCAGAGGGAATAGCATAGCGTTGGGACCTGAAACTTGTCAAAGTGCAGGTCAGTCAGGTCGGCCACCAGCTTCTTTGCCTTAGGCTGGTCCTGCCAGGTATCTGCTATCCTCGTTTCTGGCTTGCCGTCCAGAAGTAGATTACCCTTTTTGGGCTTCCCATTGAACCCCCCGGCCTTAGAGGGGAGGGCATCCATGGACTCCCGCACCATCACCAGCCCTTCAGCCAGGCACTCTGCACGCTTGGCGTTCACGTTGCCCTGGCGCCTGACGTCCCCCAGCTCGGTCTTGGTGATCTGCAGGCCATTCTTCATGTCCTGTACCTCTTTGACCACGCTGTCGATGCGACTGTTGGTAGAGTCCACCAGCATCTGCAGGAACGACTTGTAGTTCCTCTCCTGCTGCTCAATCAACTCTTTATAGAAGAACTGCTGCTGGTCCAGAAGCTCATATACCATGGACAGAGAAACCAGGTCATCGTCCTGGTAGCAGGGTGCCTTCTTGGGCAACATGGTTCTCCTCGGTCTCCTCAGCCTGCCTATCTGGATGACTGAAGCTGTGCTGGTCAGGTCTCTGGCTGCTAGACGTGGGGAGCTGTGTCAAGTCTCTGGGAGTGGGGCTCAGCTGGCTGAACTAAGCACCAGACAGAGAAGAGGACTAGACTGATAATGAAGCAGGGTTTACCTGACCTGAAGCCTGAAACCAGAGGTACTGTGGCAGTGATGTGACTGACTGGCTACCTCCCGCTGTACTGTTGCGGCAGCCTAACATTGGGGCTGCGGTCTGTATTGGATGTCCTTGGGAATCCTAACTTCCACATGGGACGTTTCAACAGAAGCTCTGGGGTTAATGTATTGTGTTCTGCTTTTCGCCACCCCGCCGGCCGCAATCCGGACTGTCAGCGCGGTGCTACAGTTACAGAAACCAACGAGGGGGTCTGAAGAATCATTTCCGTGATTAGGGCATGGTCACATGATGCTTAGGGTCCCCTGCCAGGCTAGTTGGACAGACGACAGAGCCAGAGCATCCAGGGTCAGAGAGGCTAGATGCTTAGGCTGACGGCTGCCTGCCCCACAGGACCAACCCATCCGCTGCATCCCCTCTCTACCATTGCTGTTGAAGAAAATCCTAGGGGAAACACTGTACCTCCCTCTGTGATACATTAGCTTTCATTTAGGGCTAGGCTATACCTTGGCTTTGTTTTTCTCTGAACCATCCTTAGGCCCTTAGCCTCTTTCCCTCTCGCCCTCTCTCTCTACCTGAACCTGTAGCCCTACACCCATCTTTACTTTTGGCTTAATCTGTTTGGCTTTGCTTGCCTGTTTGTTTATCTGGTGTTACCTACACCTCTCTTTACCTCTGTATGTTTGTACGGTCTTTCCCTGTCCTGTACTTTTTTTATTTTCTTGTCCGTGGCTCCCTCTCAGTCTCTCTCTCTGTTGGGTTCCTTGATCAGTGGCAGCAGCAGCATTCTCTGGCAGTGTGCCCAGAAGGGAGGTCCTCCTCCTGCTCCTCACCCTGCTGGATCCTCAGGGCCAGCCCACTGTAACCCCAGCCTACAGCACTGCTGGACCCCAGCCAGGACCTCCCTTTCTCTGGCCCCTCAGGCAGGGACCGAGACCCCAACACACGGCTGCCAGAAATCTGTCCTGGATTCGCAAGCACTGCACAACCTCTCCAGGAATCTGGCCTCGGTATGAGAGAGCACTGCTTGCTGCCATAGCTGCTGCTATGCTATCCTGGCCCAGAGAGCTAAAAACACCATAGCTGCTGCAGCGTGGCATTGCCACTTTCAAATCACATTGACAAGTGGTCCCTGAGAGCCATGTGGTGGTAGTGTAGTGCCACACAGAGGTTTGTGAGTGAGGACTTCCGGTCACTGCTATGTTCCATGTGTGTATCTGTGTCTGTCTGCCCACATGACTGGAGCTCCACTTGTATTTATTTAAGTTGATTTGAACAGGGACAATGTACAATAAAACATAAGTCTCAGAAATGAGATGTGATGTGTTGCACCAGACTCCAACATAAGCCTACAGCAGAGGGATGGAGTTAATCAGTAACTACCCCTTCATATGAGCATGTGATATCATGTGCATAGTCATCGTCTATATAATCATATAGCCTACACCCAACCTTTCTCATCAATCACTTGCAGCAATATTCAGCACATCGACATCAATTGGTTATTGCTGCTTATTGTTGAATAGCATGAACATGTTGAATTTGCAACTTATCACAGAATGGTAGGCCTATACAGACATGGCCTTTTTTCCCCTTCTAGCTACATTAACCCTACCTTGGATAAATACTATAATCGGAGCCCTGAGCCTTGTTGTCTGCACTTGGAGTTGAGAGGCATAGTGGGAGGCACTGCTAAGGCTGTCAGTCACCCTGCATTTATACTAACATAAAGCTTGTGGCCATTCCGTGCCAGTAAAGCGAGAATAAAAACAGTCCAGTCACATACAGTGCAATGGCCTTTCTACATGGAGTCACCACACTAACTCTGATAGAGCAGATCAGCTCAATACAATGGGTCTGTCTTCTAGCACGTTCATTTCCTTGTTAGGGCACACAGCAGGATCCTGTGGCGTGACTCTATAGAGTGGGGCAGGGTCAATGACCCCACAACTACAGCAGAGAGAGCAGAGGACCCACCCATGTGCGGAGGCATTACTACAGAGGAGGAGTTGACACAACCTTTCCGTACACGCCTTCACAGCACAGCAACACACACCTAAAAAGATTCCTTCTTATGATTGTCCACCACACCCAATCAAACATCCGAGCGAGGGCCGAAACAGTGGACCCAATGTATCCAGCCCAGTGGTCACACTGATGTGTTTGTGTGTATGTCCAGATGAGAGGCTTGATTCAGAGACTACAATCCATAGCTTTGTTATCCCCACTTTGGTGGAGACATTCCTTCCATGCTTTAGGAGAAACAATGTGTGCATTCAGCACAAGAACATGACTTACTTTGAGATTCATGGTTTCACACCGTTCTCCCACTGCTATACAACCCAATCCCTCCCATGGAGACATGCGATAGAAAAGTATCTTGGAGGTTAAACCTCCTGTGACAATGGTAATTACCAACCGAAATCAACATGATATTATCTACATTGTTCCATATCGGTGTATAAAAAGTGGTAAGACCAAGGCATAAATCAAGCATGCACAGTCATGTCAGAGATAGGGCAGCTACTGTTATTCCAAGAGTACCATATCACTTTCGATCTGACAAATAGTATACCATAATGTCACAGATTAAATTTTTGATCAAATTGAAGCCATTAATGATCAGAAATCCTATAACAAGTCTATAAATTATTTGTAAGAATAGATGACCATAGAAAAAGTGACACAGCTTGAATCAAACCCCATTCATATTGCAAAGATGTAGCCTTTAATACCATAGATAGGAGACATTAGGGAGAAACCCCGAGGCTGAAATATAAATGAAACGATGCATTCTACATCATACAACAGTAATATAACCTGAAAAAGATTGATCATAGTAAAAATGATACACGATCTGGTGAACTGTTCCATCAGATCAAAGTCGCCTAATACAAATGCAATATCTTGTAAAATTTCTAGAATATTTTATATAATTCTGAATGACAGTGATTGTATGGGGGGGTACGATAGGTCCAGCAGCAGCTCGCATGCACTGCTCGCTCGAACCACATCAACATATAGCTATTTGTTCGCTGCATTGAGAAGTCGGCCTGTGCTTGTGGAAAATGTATACATCTCAATGGTTTTGCAGCTTTAGTTTGATCAAAATTGAATAGCCCACATTCTATATCACACATATTTGCTGTTACCGGATCTTAACACGTTCCATTACCGGCTCAGTACATGGGTTTTGTTAAACATAAAACCGTAAAATGCTACTGATTCACGGACGCATGGAGTCAGGTCTGGCTCGCTGACATGATGAATGAAGTCATTGCCTCGATCATCAGACAAAAATATACTTTGAGTTATCATCATGCGTCTTAAATAATATCCGACCATCAAAAACACAATCAGCAGTGCATATGAATTATAGGAAGGATCCCATAATCAAACATGTAACACCCCAAAACACCCGTCGTTCAACAGTTCACGCGAATCTTCCTCTGCAGGAAAAGCTTGCGTTCATGCAACGAGGAAACCTTAGCATTGCTTGCTTAAATTATATTTTATTAAATAGAATGTTCATATTTCCAACGCACCACATAATATAATACTCACCATGTCTGTCGGCGCTGGACGTGTTGGTTTTCTAAAACTAGACTACGAGATTGACCAATTCCCGGAACCTCTACTGATGGGCTGAAGGTGTGTATCTCTCGCGATCTGTGTCTATATAGCTTAGTGTATTCCTCCGCCGCTGAAAACCCTCCTCACTCACTTCCGCATTTTCCCACTGCAGGACAGGCACCCTGTATCCCTCCCTCCCTCCCTCCTCAGCAAACTTGCCTGGCAGAGCTGCAGTGGCACAAAAAGCTAAGCCGAAATACATAGAACAACACAGACCAATATAATACACACTTGTAGCCTACATGTGTGAAATAGGACAAATGTAAGCACTCACCAAATGTATTTATTTATTTATTATTTCATACAGACAGTATCTGACACTTACTGGTAAAAGTACTTCTACTCATATATTCATACACCTGCATTTGACCAGCCATTCCTTGAGTTATTGTTGCATTGGAGATGAGCAACACCAGACAGAGTATTTAAAAGGAAAAAGCACACATAAGATGTTGTTGGTAGAATAGCTGGCATTCCATCATCACTTCATGATAATTGAAGCTATGAAATGTGCATTACATTATTATTAAAAAAATTAAGCCGATGGCGATAATCAGACAATTATTAAGATTTATTTAGGCTAGCCCATTTGTCATATTGAATTAATATTAATTACCCAATATCAGTCATTGACAAACTTACCAATAATGCAGTTCTATAGTTGGCCTGTTTGGTTATAAAACTGCTAAAAAAAAAATATATTTATTGCCAATGTTTTTGCAAACTCAGAACCAACTTGTTTTCAGCATTTGTCGAAATCTGTAATTTCTTCTAATAATGAAATTATAGGGAGCATGCCTTCAGTGGATCACTATTCAATATCTATAGCCTATATTTTATTATTCTCAAATTACGTGAAAAGCATATTCAGGTCATGCATTTGTATATTGATCAGGGTATGCAAATAATTACTAGGTTGATTATCCAAATTCTGCATGCTGTTTTGTGATTCTAAAGAACCTAAAACCTAATAAAGTGTCATTTTTACAAAAGAAACAGTTGCAAAAAAAACTGTAAATGATTGACATAGGCACAAAATAGGTTGTGACATTGGCTTTGGTCATGTGGCCAACAGTACAGCTGTAGTCTAATTCGACACATTCCGGTCTGTGCGCTGACTACTCACTGCATCCAGTGCCTATGAATTGACAAGTTTCTGATGCGCAGGAGCTGGAACAGGGCGCTCTACTTTATGTAACGCACTGTTTTATCTCTGCGGAAGAATACTCAAACACACTGGCCAGTGTCTATTGACGCTGGAGAAATTGCAGTTATATTTGAAACGGCGCTCCTCATTGGTTACAGTTGACCTGCAATAGTCTGCTCGTTGTACGCGAGCCCAGGATTGGCTACGTTGGATCTGCAATGCGTCAAGTAATGGCGCCTAATGTTACCCGAGTAGTTTAGGAAAACGGTATGGCCGGACAGTCTACTTTGTATCACAGAGCATTTTGTAATATTATAACGGTTAATGTCGATAAGACGTTTATTTCAGTCTGTCTAGTTTCTCAAAATCATACCTCATCTGACGAGCTCGATTTGAGTTTTTCGGGAGGAATGGTGGTGATTGGTCACCGCAAACATACACGGAACTATTTACTTGTAGTCGCGGAATTTAAAATGACAGGTGTGTCGATGAAGGAATAGAGAATTAAAATATTATAAATCCTATGCTGATTTCGAGTCTATTTTGTGAATTAGATTTATGCATTCAAACCAAGATTTACTTTTAGGCAATAATCTCGCAGCCTGCAACAATTAATGGACTGATTGACGGTTTTATCAGTCTATGGAAGTGAGTTTGTGTGCTCATGCTCAAGGATAAATAAGCTAAACTAAATCATACAATTAGCATTCAAGATAACATGATTTTAGTAGCCTAAAATGATGCGATTCCTAAAATTCTACCTCTCCAAAAAAAACACAGGCGCGTTCGAGGTGACGTCATATTCATGCGACTGTTTACATGCAGAGGAGAACAACATGGCGCTATTTCCAGCTTTTGCAGGATTATCAAATACAAAAGCAGAGAATGCACCTAAAGGTAAGACCACAAATGTTTATTTATGTTTAGTGGATGTGTCAACCAGTTAGCCACCGTTCTGTGACGGCATTTCAAAGAGAGATCTAATAAAAGTAAACGCAAGTGCAACGTTCCTGCCCGAAAGTGTCAGCTTCCTAGTTTCACTAGCTTGTTAACTTAATTGCGCAGAACACAATTATGCTATAGCTAGCTAGCTAAGTGTCTTTGCTCGTAACATAACATCCCCCACAATATGCATCCATAGTTATACTTTGATAAACATTAACGTTAGTTACTCAATGATGTTGCCAGGTGGATAAGCATGATAAACAATTTTCCTACACTCACTGACTGAAGGTTAGCAGTGCATTGGGCCCTCACCATAACCTTAATCTAACCAAAAAGGTGTACTATATAATGTCCTCATAAAATTCAACTCTAAGCCCATTGGCACAATGTGATCTGACAACTCTTTGACTTTGGACTACTTTATCTTTAGTGCATTTACTGTATCAGTGGGCTTCCATCTGAAAAAAGCTGTCGCCAAACCTGATTATTTCCTCTGCTTAAAAGCCCTAGAGAACTAATTGTGATTGATTTGACATTACTATTTTTTCTCTCTCCTCAGAGCTAGAATGGCTGAGCAATCAAAGTTTCCGTACCGACGACGCTCTCTCTCTTCACCAACGAGCCACTGAGAAAGCCAACGAAACACAATCGGCAGAAACAAGGTGTTGTGTTATGATAAGTGTTCAATCGTTATCCAATTATTTCCCTTTCACTGTGACTTAATAGTATTACATTCCGCCCCTTTGAGAAGCACTGGAGGTTTTATTGAGTAGCTTTGAATGTTACTACACAGTGTCGTGACGTCACTTTCATTATTGTGATAACTATTATTTCTCAAATAATTACCTACTATGTTTAATTGTTACTAGATTAAATTAATCATGTAACAATCAACTCATTAGGAATTTGGGTTACCATGGGAAAAGTTATTTAACGAGTTACCGTTTCCCGAATTAACTCTAAAGATATCTAGATATCTCTTGTCATTTAACAGTCATTTATTAATAATTTACCTCATATCAGTCTCATTCTGAAAGTCGTAGACTCTTTAAGTCTGCACGAACCCGGGTCTTATTGATCATTCCGTACCACACAAATTGATTTAATTATTTATTCACTAACTAATTAAAAATGACAACACAAGATACAAACACGTACACAGTATAGGTAGGGATTAGAAACTTAATACAATGAAAACGGGTCCCTAGCGAACTAACACAATATGACACTTGTTAAAAAAGATGGCGAGTTAGAGAGATTGAGTAAAAAACACTTGGATACATATGGAACTACGCTCACAGTAATCCTAATACCTTGCCCGAACTGCCACCCGTTTGGTAAGAAGTAATGAATGTATTTACGTGTTGGAGGTCTTCGTCGTGTATCTCTGTTGGACCCAGGCCTTCGTGGGAAGGGGTCGATTGGGCCTTCTCTTTCGAATGGTCTTTTAGATGTAAGGCTCTGATTGTCCACAAGAGGTCACAATGTCCTTCTTCTTAGTTGTCTGTTTACTTTCACTCGTTCTGGAAGTGGTCTTCTGAGGATGGCTAATCAGCCATGTCGATGATCCCCTGTGGGGTGATGCGAGCAGTGTAGTAGACGATGGTTTGAAGAGAGCAACAGGATGGTCCCACTTAAATTCACTTTCTTAGATACAGTACTTAGAACAGCTACTCAGCCGTAACATTTATTGTTAGTGGAGGCAACTTTGTCGTCTTCACCTCGTGTTGATTTTCAGGGTCGTAACCAATGGATACAAAAGCTGCAGCTTGAGTACTTCTGATCTGATCATTCTTAACTCAATCTTTTATGCGCTCTGGTAAAGAGGGGCGTTTCGGTCATACTGACACGCTCTCTGAGCTCCGTCGGGCGTGGCTAGTTACAAGGCAAAACTATTATCATCACTATGATCTTGTTAGAAAGCTGAAATCACATTCCTATCTTCACGAAAACATTGTCTTCCTCCTTGATATTTTCTACCCAACGTATAGGATGTAAGCCTGATATACACAGTGTAAAAGCTCTTCAAGTCACAATGTTTTCGTTATAATGCCTTTATACCTTTTTTAATGACATCACAAAATATACATACATTTTCCATATTCCATTTTTCATCATTCCCAACATTTGGATGTTGAAATGTATTGTCCAAATGTTCATTGTTGGATGTTGAAGTTTTTGGGCGGCAAAAAGTCTATGAAACAAAGGCATTCCTTTCACCATACTAGAGGGCCAGAGAGAGATTCTCCTCCTCTCTAATTTATGGCAGTGTTCAGGTGTCAAGACCGGCACAGCCCCCCCCCCCCCCCCCCCCCCCCCCCTCCCCGGTCTGGTTGTTGTCAGCCATTTGCCAAGCTGATGTAAGACCTTTGATCCTCACCCAGGGAGAGTCATGACAACAGTCTTGTTGACCTCCAAATATCTTATACTTTTGTGGGATGATATGATCTCAGCATTGACATGTGGTGGTAGTTTCACCCCAAAATCAACGGCTTGTGATATTTATACTTAAATGTATACTTCTAACATTTCTCAGCAGACTCATTATACCAGAGAGGGACGATAAGAATGACGTCCCATCCAAGAAGAAGAAAAAGAAGGAGAAGAAGAAGAAAAAGAAAAAGCACAAGAACAAGAGTGGAGAACCCTCCCCAGCAAGCAGTGGCTCAGATTCAGATACTATCTACCCCAGTGACCTCCTAAAAAATGCTGAGAGCACTCCTCCGAGGTATGACCTCACTCCTTTGGTTCCCAGTGAGACACAGGATACATGCTCTATTAGGAATATATACGATCAGTTTTGCAATTTATATCATAATGAATAAGAGTATTTGGACAGGGGGGAACTGATCCTAGACCAGCACTCCTACCGTAAGATGCTTTTTACTGTAGTAGTTGTTCTGTTTCAGGGTTTAAATGTTGCCGGGTTGGAGGGCGATGCGGTGTCCGTGGCTCAGTGCGTTAGGGGAGGTATACTCTGGGGGTCTTGGCTGACTGCCAGTTGTAGTAGCTCTCCTTGACTCAGACTCTGAATTCAACTGCGACATCAAGCCTGGCTAGTCTCTGAGCTGCCAATGAAATTACCCCCAGTCCCTTGCCACACACACAAACACACAGACACAGATACAGACACACACAGACAGACAGACAGACAGACAGACAGACAGACAGACAGACAGTACCAGTCAAATGTTTGGACACACCTACTCATTCAAGGGTTTTTCTTTATTTTTACTATTTTCTACATTGTAGAATAATAGTGAAGACATCAAAGCTATGAAATAATACATATGGAATCATGTAGTAACCAAAAAAGTGTTAAACAATTCAAAATATAGTTTATATTTGAGATTGTTCAAACAGCCACCCTTTGCCTTGATGACAGCTTTGCACACTCTTGGCATTCTCTCAACCAGCTTCACCCAGAATGCTTTTCCAACAGTCTTGAAGTAGTCCCCACATATGCTGAGCACTTGTTGGCTGCTTTTCCTTCACTCTGCCCTCCGACTCATCCCAAACCATCTCAATTGGGTTGAGGTCGGGGGATTGTGGAGGCCAGGTCATCAGATGCAGCACTCCATCACTCTCCTTCTTGGTAAAATAGCCCTTACACAGCCTGGAGGTGTGTTGGGTCATTGTCCTGTTGAAAAACAAATGATAGTCCCACTAAGCCCAAACCAGATGGAATGGCGTATCGCTGCAGAATGCTATGGTAGCCATGCTGGTTAAGTGTGCCTTGAATTCTAAATAAATCACAGACAGTGTCACTAGCAAAGCACCCCCACACCATAACACCTCCTCCTGCATGCTTTACGGTGGGAAATACACATGCAGAGATCATCCGTTCACCCACACCGCGTCTCACAAAGACACGGCGGTTGGAACCAAACATCTCCAATTTGGACTCCAGACCAAAGGACAAGTTTCCACCGGTCTAATGTCCATTGCTCGTGTTTCTTGGCCCAAGCAGGTCTCTTCTTCTTATTGGTGGCCTTTAGTAGTGGTTTCTTTGCAGCAATTCGACAATGAAGGCCTGATTTAACACAGTCTCCTCTGAACAGTTTATGTTGAGATGTGTCTGTGACTTGAACTCTGTGAAGCATTTATTTGGGCTGCAATTTCTGAGGCTGGTAACTAATGAACTTATCCTCTGCAGCAGAGGTAACTCTGGGTCTTCCATTCCTGTGGCTGTCCTCATGAGAGCCAGTTTCATCATAGCGCTTGATGGTTTTTGCGACTGCACTTGAAAACTTTCCGTATTGACTGACCTTCATGTCTTAAAGTAATGATGGACTGTCGTTTCTCTTTGCTTATTTGAGCTGTTCTTGCCATAATATGGACTTGGTCTTTTACCAAATAGGGCTATCTTCTGTATACCCCCACTACCTTGTCACAACACAACTGATTGGCTCAAACGCATTAAGAAGGAAATAAATTCCACAAATTAACTTTTAAGAAGGCACACCTGTTAATTTAATTGCATTCCAGGTGACTACCTCATGAAGCTGGTTGAGAGAATGCCAAGAGTGTGCAAACTTTTGACTGGTACTGTATACACACCCACACACTGTCTCTATGTCTTTCTCTCTTTCAAGGACTGGCTCCTCCACAGGAGACTTGTGTAACTTATCCTACAGTCAAATTAGCCTAATGATGCCATTCTTTTTTATCTGTACTGTACTGGCAATATTTAACGACTAATCTGTTACTGTACTGTCAATGTTTAACGATTATGTCTGTTTTATGAAAGGCTTTCTTATCAATTTCCGTTATAGTTATGGCATCATGTTTGTGTGAGGTAGCACCACTAGCCCTATATGGTCTTTTGTTCCAATCATGAAAACGCTGATTCGCTAAGTCTTACCAAACACCTCCTGTGGCCTATGCTCTGCATTGATCCTGACTATCTCTGTCTGTAGTGAGGAGGCGCAGTTTCAGATGGAGGGGTCTTTTGTGTGGTTGGACGACCTCCAGACCCCCACCGATCGGCCCTTCTGCGTGGACAGGAGAGCAGACCGTGCCAACTGGGAGTACAAATCACTTTACAGAGGAGATATCGCTAGGTAGGTAACGTCCCTTCCCCCTCCACTGCTCCACCCTCCGCCTCCCCCTCATCTCTGCACCACCTCTCTCTCTCTCTCCTCCCACAGCCCTGGCTACTACACCCTGCTCTCTCCCCACCTTTCCTCTCCCCTCTCTCGCTCTCTCTCTCACACACTCTACTGCCATCTCAGCTCTGGTGTAGTTGCCCGTCAGCTGTCATCAACCCACACTTACCCTGTCCACACCATTGAGCTGGACAGAGCTGAGCTATACTGCACTGGCTTGGCTGTGCATCCACCACAGTTGCTGGAAGTGCACTGGAAAGGACAATGCGGAAACGAAAATATCTGAGCCAGCACCGTACGGTTCAGGTTGGCACGATAGTGTTAAAAGCGTATCTGTTGGCCAGCAGTGTTTAGTTTATCCTCCAGCCTGGTTCTGTTCCCAATGCAAGGTCAGTCAGAGAGGGAGTCAGTCAGAGAGGTAGTCAGTCAGCTGCAGGTGCCAGAGCCTCCATTACAGTACGCATCATCGCAATGGAGACGGGGGCTTGGGTGGCCAGAGAGCAGGGGTAGGTGGGCGGGGTTGGGGGTGTTGATAATAAAAGCTGCATTGAGAGTTTTGGGTCTGCAGCGCTGCAGTAATCCATCTCTCACAGGCAGTTTTACTACTTCAGCCCTCTGACTGCCTTCAGCCCACAGTCAGGGTGTAAATTCCTTCTTTCCTGTCAAAGCGCGCTCTCTATGTTGAATAATGACGTGGATAGGATGTGTGCTCGTGGTGGGGTATATATTGTTGTCATACATACAGTGCATTCGGAAAGTATTCAGACCCCTTGACTTTTTCCACATTTTGTTGTTACAGCCTTATTCTAAAATGGATTAAATTGTTTTTCCCCCTCATCAATATACACACAATACCCCATTATAAAAATAAAAAAACAAACGGAAATATCACATTTACATAAGTATTCAGACCCTTTATTCAGTACTTTGTTGACGCACCTTTGGCGGCGATTACAGCCTCGAGTCTTCTTGGGTATGACGCTACAAGCTTGGCACGCCTGTATTTGGGGAGTTTCTCCCATTCTTATGTAAAAAAGGTATTTCTGTTTTTTATTTTTAGTAAATTTGAAAATGAAATGCTAAAAACCTGTTTTCGCTTTGTCATTATGGGGTATTGTGTGTAGATTGATGAGGGAAAAATTTAATTTAATTGATTTTAGACTAAGGCTGTTAACGTAACACAATGTGGAAAAGGGGAGGGGTCTGAGTACTTTCCGAATGCACTGTACACTATATACACAAAGTACGTGGAGACCCCATCAAATTAGTCGATTTGACTATTTCAGCCATACCCGTTGCTGACAGGTGTATAAAATCGAGCACATAGCCATGCAATCTCCATAAACAAACACTGGCAGTAGAATGGCCTTACTGAAGAGCTCAGTGACTTTCAACGTGGCACCATCATAGGATGCCACCTTTCCAACAAGTCAGTTTGTAAAATTTCTGCCCTGTTATAGCTGCCCCGGTCAACTGTAAGTGCTGTTAGTGTGAAGTGGAAACGTCTAGGAGCAAAAACGGGACCGGCGAGTGCTTAAGCGCGTAGCGTTTAAAAATCGTCTGTCCTCGGTTGCAACACTCACTACCGAGTTCCAAACTGCCTCTTGAAGCAACGTCAGCACAAGAACTGTCCGTCGGGAGCTTCATGAAATGGGTTTCCATGGCCGAGCAGCCGCACACAAGCCTAAGATCACCATGCGCAATGCCAAGCGTCTGCTGGAGTGGTGTAAAGCTCGCCACCATTGGACTCTGGAGCAGTGGAAACGCGTTCTCTGGAGTGATGAATCACGCTTCACCATCTGGCAGTCTGAAGGACGAATCAGGGTTTGGCGGATGCCAGGAGAACGCTACCTGCCGAATTTATAGTGCCATATTGAATAATGGTCTGGGGCTGTTTTTCATGGTTCGGGCTAGGCCCCTTAGTTCCAGTGAAGGGAAATCTTAATACTACAGCATACAATGACATTCTAGATGATTCTGTGCTTCCAACTTTGTGGCAGCAGTTTGGGAAAGGCCCTTTCCTGTTTCCGCATGACAATGCTCCCGTGCACAAAGCGAGGTCCATACAGAGAAGGTTTGTCGAGATCGGTGTGGAAGAACTTGACTGGCCTGCACAGAGCCCTGACCTCAAGCCCATCTAACACCTTTGGGATGAATTGGAACGGCGACTGCGAGACAGGCCTAACATCAGTGCCCGACCTCACTAATACTCTTGTGTCTGAATGGAACCAAGTACCCACAGCAATGTTCCAACATCTAGTGGAAAGCCTTCCCAGAAGAGTGGAGGCTGTAATAGCAGCAAAGGGTGGACCAACTTCATATTAACGCCAATGATTTTGGAATGAGATATAGTTGTCTTCATTAGCGTATTTCTAAGTATGTGTCTTATGTGTCTTTTTTATATAATATATACAGCTGCGTAAAAAATAAAGAGCCACTGCAAAATTATTAGTTTCTCTGGTTTTACTATTTATAGGTATGTGTTTGGGTAAAAATAACGTTTTTGTTTTATTCTATAAACTACTGCCAACATTTCTCCCAAATTCCAAATAAAAATATTGTCATTTAGAGCATTTATTTTCAGAAAATGACAACTGGTCAAAATAACAAAAAATATGCAGTGTTGTCAGACCTCGAATAATGCAAAGAAAATAAGTTAATGTAAAAATGTAAATTTTTAAACAACACAATAGTAATGTTTTAACTTTACTCAATATTTGGTGGAAGAACCCTGATTTTCAATCACAGCTTTCATGTGTCTTGGCATGCTCTCCACTAGTCTTTCACATTGATGTTGGGTGACTTTATGCCACTCCTGGTGAAAAAATTCAAGCAGCTTGGCTTTGTTTGATGGCTTGTGACCATCCATCTTCCTCTTGATCACATTCCAGAAGTTTTCAATGGGGTTCAGGTCTGGAGATTGGGCTGGCCATGACAGGGTCTTGATCTGGTGGTCCTCCATCCACACCTTGATGACCTGGCTGTGTGGCATGGCACATTGTCCTGCTGGAAAAACCAATCCTCAGAGTTGGGGAACAATGTCAGAGCAAAAGGAAGCAAGTTTTCTTCCAGGATGACCTTGTATGTGGCTTGATTCATGCGTCCTTCACAAAGACAAATCTGCCCGATTCCAGCCTTGCTGAAGCACCCCCAGATCATCACCGATCCTCCACCAAATTTCACAGTGGGTTGCGAGACACTGTGGCTTGTAGGCCTCTCCAGGTCTCCGTCTAACCATTAGACGACCAGGTGTTGGGCAAAGCTGAAAATTGAACTCATCAGAGAAGATGACCTTACTCCAGTCCTCTACGGTCCAATCCTTATGGTCTTTTGCAAAACTCAGCCTGGCTCTTCTTTGCTTCTCATTGATGAAGGGCTTTTTTCTAGCTTTGCACGACTTCAGCCCTGCCCCTAGGAGCCTGTTTCGAACCGTCCTCGCCGTGCACTTCACCCCAGCTGCCGTTGTCCATTCTTTTTGTAGGTCACTTGATGTCATCCTACAGTTGTTGAGTGACATTTGAATGAGTTGGCGGTCATCCCGGTCAGTAGAGTTGTTTTCGCCCTCTGCCTGTCTGTAGCTTTGTTGTCCCCAATGTCTGCTGCTTGACCTTGTTCTTATGAACCGCCGTCTTTGAAATGTTAAGGATGGAAGCAACCTGACGCTCACTGTATCCCTATGCCAGTAAAGCCAGAATTGAACCCTTCTTTTCCTCACTCAAAACTTTCCTTTTCAACTCTTTTGGCATGGTCAATAGTTTTATTTTTTAATCAATATTACTTTTGAGGTTCTATTAGCACTGTTTTTGCCATCCAGCTGGTCCTATTGCAAGAGGATAGTGATGATAGTGATTATACTTTTCCTCGTTAAATAAGATTTTGTTTCATGTGATCACCTAATCAGTACCTAATTCAGTAGAATGAGGGGTGCCTGTGTTGGAATTCAACAGACACTGGAATGGAATGGCTGTCAGACATGTAGAGATGCTGATTTAAGAAAAATGTGCAGTGGTCTCTTAATTTTTTCCACAGCTGTGTGTGTGTGTGTATATATATATATATATATATATATATATATATATATATATATATATATATATATATATATATATAGTTGAAGTCGGAAGTTTACATACACCTTAGCCAAATAAATTTAAACTCAGATTTTCACAATTCCTGCCATTTAATCCTAGTAAAAAGTCACTGTCAAAGGTCAGTTAGGATCACCACTTTATTTTAAGAATGTGAAATGTCAGAATAATAGTAGAGAGAATTATTTATTTAAGCTTTTTTCTTTCATCACATTCCCAGTGGGTTAGAAGTTTACATACACTCAATTAGTATTTGGTAGCATTGCCTTTAAATTGTTTAACTTGGGTCAAAATTTCGGGTAGCCTTCCACAGGCTTCCCACAATAAGTTGGGTGAATTTTGGCCCATTCCTCCTGACAGAGATGGTGTAACCTGAGTCAGGTTTATAGGCCTCCTTGCTCGCACACGCTTTTTCAGTTCTGCCCACAAATGTTCTATAGGATTGAGGTCAGGGCTTTGTGATGGCCACTCCAATAACTTGACTTTGTTGTCCTTAAGCCATTTTGCCACAACTTTGGAAGTATGCTTGGGGTCATTGTTCATTTGGAAGACCCATTTGTGACCAAGCTTTAACTTCCTGACTGATGTCTTGAGATGTTGCTTCAATATATCCACATAATTTTCCTTCCTCATGATGCCATCTATTTTGTGAAGTGCACCAGTCTCTCCTGCAGCAAAGCACCCCCACAGCATGATGCTGCCACCCCCGTGCTTCACGGTTCGGATGGTGTTCTTCGGCTTGCAATCAACCCCCAGTTTCCTCCAAACATAACGATGGTCATTACGGCCAAACAGTTCTATTTTTGTTTTATCAGACCAGAGGACATTTCTCCAAAAAGGATGATCTTTGTCGCCATGTGCAGTTGCAAACCGTAGTCTGGCTTTTTTATGGCGGTTTTGGAGCAGTGGCTTCTTCCTTGCTGAGCAGCATTTCAGGTTATGTCGATTATAAGACTAGTTTTACTGTGGATATAGATACTTTTGTACCTGTTTCCTCCAGCATCTTCACAAGGTCCTTTGCTGTTGTTATGGGATTGATTTGCACTTTTCGCACCAAAGTACGTTCATCTCTAGGAGACTGTACGCGTTTCCTTCCTGAGCGGTATGACAGCTGCGTGGTCCCATGGTGTACTATTGTTTGTACAGATGAACGTGGTACCTTCAGGCATTTGGAAATTTCTCCCAAGGATGAACCAGACTTGTGGAGGTCTACAATTTTTCTTCTGAGGTCTTGGCTGATTTCTTTAGATTTTCCCATGATGTCAAGCAAAGAGGGACTGAGTTTGAACGTACGCCTTGAAATACATCCACAGGTACACCTCCAATTGACTCAAATGATGTCAATTAGCCTATCAGAAGCTTCTAAAGCCATGACATCATTTTCTGGAATTTCCCAAGCTGTTTAAAGGCACAGTCAAGTTAGTGTATGCAAACTTCTGACATTTTACATTTACATTTTAGTCATTTAGCAGACGCTCTTATCCAGAGCGACTTACACCCACTGGAATTGTGATAGTGAATTATAAGTGGAATAATCTGTTTGTAAACAATTGTTGGAAAAATTACTTGTCATGCACAAAGTAGATGTCCTAACCGACTTGTTAACAAGAAATTTGTGGAGTGGTTGAAAAACGAGTTTTAATGACTCCAACCTAAGTGTATGTAAACTTCCGACTTCAACTGTGTGTATATATATTGTGGCGTACAGCAGGTCAGCCATCGGGGGAGACTCGTCGAGGCCTGGTAACAGATGGGGTATACATCACGAGGCGGTGGCTCCATCTGCTGGACGTGGCAGGTCTCGACGGGCTCCTCTGACAGGACTAATTGGGGCTGATTGGGAGCTGGTGAGTAATTAAGGGCGGATTGCTCACCTGCTGTGCAAGGCCCATAAAGCTGCCAGAAGGGCAGCACATGGGAGAGGACTGGGGGAAGTAAGGTAACTTCTGTGTAGTTGGAGATGGTATCCTGGAGAGGGTCTCATTGGGGAGACCTAACCTTTTCTTTTGATTATTTTATTAATAAACACCCTTGAAACCGAGCTAATCATACTCTGTCCGTGTCTGATCTGTGTAAACGTCTTGACCCAACCCCCTGATCTGCCACAATATATATGCATGTCCACAGAAGCGGTGTAGTAGGACCCACTGAACTTTGTTATTAACTGGACAAGGGCAAAAAATTGAGTTCCAGTTGATATCCAGATGATATCGGGTTTAATGTGGAGTCGATACACACACACACACACACACACGCCACAGCAAGCGACGTGAAATGTGATCAATATAACCATGATTGGACTGGTGCTTGGCGTATTGCTCCTTTTTGGAGGAGGTCAGTTGATGCAGACAACTCACTTTATTTCTCCCCTTTTCTCTCTTTCTCACCCTGCCCTCCTTCACTGAGCTGCACCCCAATTCACAACGCTCTCAATACATTGCTGTTTCTCTTTACAGTGATTCTACATGTGACTGTAATGTCTTTAAAGGTACAAGAGGAAAGGCTGTTCCTCTCTGGGTTTGGACCTGCGGTCTCAGGCCGTGAGCTGGGCTGAGTCTGGCCCAGAGAAGAAGAGAGTGGACAGGAGACAGAGACCCAACCGCTACTTCTCACCCAACGTCCGCCAGCTGCTGAGGTCTGATGGCAAACCCACGCTGCCTAGACCTCCACCAGAGGGCACCACCACCGCCTTACCCTTCATCCCTGTGCCCTCCTGCCTGGAAGGTGAGGCAGAGGGGGGTGGCTCTGCCCTGGGCCAGGGCTCCTGGGTCAACCCTCTGGGGGTGTATGACTCCTCCACCTCCCTGTGGCTCCAAGGGAAAGGGAAGGCGGAGCAGGGCAAGGTAGAGGAACAAACTTCTACTCCCAGGGACAATGCTGCTGCCATGCTGGCTGAACGGGTGGAGGACTTCAACAGGAGGCTGAGGGAAACCCCCACGGACACACACACCTGGCTTCAGTTTGTCCACTTCCAGGTACACTACTCAACGTTAAAACCCCACAATTACACACCACACCAATCAGTCCCATCAAATCACATTACATTTCACTAGGGCCAGGAGTTTCTCCGGGACATTTCAACGTGTCAGGGAAAAACTCCCGTCCCTGGCCTGTATCTTGATACATCAAATCACATGATAACTTCCCGATCTGTATTACAGGACGAGGTAGCTGGGGCGCCTGGGGTGTTTGGTGACATCTCTGAGAACGAGACAGAGCGGCGGAAGAGGTCAGTGCGGGCCACGCTGGAGAAGAAGGTAGCCATTTTGGATCGAGCAGTGGAGAATAACCCCAGCTGCGTGGAACTGAAGCTGGAGCGACTGCGGCTCTGTAGGGAGCTGTGGGAGCCGGCAGCCCTGCTGAAGGAGTGGAAAAAGCTTGTGTTCCTGCACCCCAACAGCGCCCCCCTGTGGAGGAAGTACCTTCTGTTCACGCAGAGCCACTTCAGCACCTTCTCTGTGTCAAAGGTCAACGCGGTGTACGGGAAGTGTCTGAGCACGCTGGCGGCGGTGCAGGATGGGAGCATGGTTTCTCACCAGGTGCTGCCGGGCACTGATGAGCACATGCTGGGTAATGGTCCAAGCCACATACTATATACTCTATATATAATTATGTTTGTATGAATAACTTATATAAATTAAGGACTTCCCCTGAGATAGCTTCTGCATAATAGACAGAGGACAGAGATTTTCTCTATTTTTGCATATTTTTCTAATTAAATTTGATCAGATCTTCAACCAAAACCTAATATTAGATAAAGGGAACCTGAGTTTACAAATAACAAAAAAAGTGATACTTATTTTATGTATTTAATTAACAAAGTTATGCAACACCCAATTCCCCTGTGTGAAAAAGTAATTGCCCCCTTACACCCAAAAAGTTATACTTTTGACTCATCTGTCCATAGAACATTCTTCCAAGAGTCTTGATGATCATCCGGGTGCTTTTTGGCAAACTTGACTCAACGTTTTGGATGAGATGGGTCCCATTGTGTCTGGCGAAAACCAAACTGCATTCCACAGTAAGAACCTCATACCAACGGTCAAGCATGGTGGTGGTAGTGTGATGGTTTGGGGATGCTTTGCTGCCTCAGGACCTGGACGACTTGCCTTAATAGAAGGAATCATGAATTCTGCTCCGTATCAGAGAATTCTACAGGAGAATGTCAGGCCATCCGTCTGTGAGCTGAAGCGCAGCTGGGTCATGCAGCAAGACAATGATCCAAAACACAAAATCAAGTCTACATGAAATGGTTAAAAAGCAACACATTTGAAGTTTTGGAATGGCCTAGTCAAAGTCCCGACCTAATCCCAATTGAGATGTTGTGGCAGGACTTGAAACGAGCAGTTCATGCTTGAAAACCCACAAATGTCCCTGAGTTAAAGCAGTTCTGCATGCAAGAGTGGGCCAAAATTCCTCAAAATTCCTCCACAGCAATGTGAGAGACTGATCAACAACTACAGGAAGCATTTGGTTGCAGTCATTGCAGCTAAAGGTGGCACAACCAGCTATTGAGTGTAAGGGGGCAATTACTTTTTCACACAGGGGAATTGAGTGTTGCATAATTTTGTTAATTAAATAAATAAAATAAGAATCCATGTTTTTTTTGTTATTTGTAAACTCCGGTTCCGTTTAGCTAATATTAGGTTTTGGTTGAAGATGGCATTCAGTATCAAAAATATGTAAAAATATAGAAAATCAGGAAAGGGGCAAATACTTTTTCTCAGCACTGTATCTCCTTTAAACTCCTTCCAGAAGCCTTTGGTATGGATTTGATGTGGTTGAATTAGCTCGTGACAGACTAAATTGAATTAGCTGGCTAGCTAGCTCCATTATTGTGGTTATATGTACATCTTAATGCCATTGCCAGATGTCTGTGGGTGTGGCAGAGCCATGGCGCACAGGGACTCGTTCAGTAGGCAAACATTGTGGAATTTTGCAGATCTAAATGTCAAATAGAACTGACATGATTCCTTCACATGACCGACAATTATATCTGTTTGCATTCGGAAAGTATTCAGACCCCTTGACGTTTTCAACATTTTGTTACGTTACAGCCTTATTCTAAAATGTATTACATTACTTTTTTCCCTCATCAATCTACACACAATATCCCATAATGACAAAGCGAAAACAGGTTTTTGGAAATGTTTGCAAATAAAAAATTGAAATACCTTATTTACATAAGTATTCAGACCCTTTGCTATGAGACTCGAAATTGAGCTCAGGTGCATCCTGTTTCCATTGATCATCCTTGAGATGTTTCTACAACTTGATTGGAGTCCACCTGTGGTAAATTCAATTGATTGGACATGATTTGGAAAGGCACACACCTGTCTATGTAAGGTTCCACAGTTGACAGTGCATGTCAGAGCAAAAACCAAGCAATGAGGTGGAAGGAATTGTCCGTAGCGCTCCGAGACAGGATTGTGTCGAGGCACAGATCTGGGGAACGGTACCAAAACTTTTCTGCAGCATTGAAGGTCCCCAAGAACACAGTGGCCTCAATCATTCTTAAATGGAAGAAGTTTGGAACCACCAAAACTCTTCCTAGAGCTGGCTGCCTGGCAAAACTGAGCAATTGGGGGAGAAGGGCTTTGGCCATGGAGGTGACCAAGAACCCGATGGCCACTCTGACAGAGCTCCAGAGTTCCTCTGTGGAGATGGGAGAACCTTCCAGAAGGACAACCATCTCTGCAGCACTCCACCAATCAGGCCTTTATAGTACAGTGGCCAGACGGAAGCCACTCCTCAGTAAAAGGCACATGACAGCCCGCTTGGAGTTTGCCAAAAGACACCTAAAGGACTCTCAGACCATGAGAAACAAGATTATCTGGTCTGATGAATCCAAGATTGAACTCTTTGGCCTGAATGCCAATCGTCACATCTGTAGGAAACCTGGCACAATCCCTACAGTGAAGCATGTTGGTGGCAGCATCATGCTGTGGGGATGTTTTTCAGAGGCAGCGACTGGGAGGCTGATCAGGATCGAGGGAAAGATGAACTGCGCAAAGTACAGCGAGATCCTTGATGAAAACCTGCTCCAGAGCGCTCAGGACCAGACTGGGGCGAAGGTTCACGTTCCAACAGGACAATGACCCTAAGCACACAGCCAAGACAATGCAGGAGTGGATTGGGGACAAGTCTCTGAATGTCCTTGAGTGGCCCAGCCAGAGCCCGGACTTGAACCCGATCTCTGGAGAGACCTGAAAATAGCTGTGCAGCAACGCTCCCCATCCAACCTGACAGAGCTTGAGAGGATCTGCAGAGAATGGGAGAAACTCACCAAATACAGGTGTGCCAAGCTTGTAGCATCAAACCCAAGAAGAGGCTGTAGTCGTTGCCAAAGGTGCTTCAACAAAGTACTGAGTTAAGGGTCTGAATACTTGTTTATTTTATTTTATACATTTGAAACATTTTCTAAACCTGTTTATCCTTTGTCATTATGTCCAGGTATTGTGTGTAGATTGATGAGGGGAAAAAAAGCAATTTCATCCATTTAAGAATTAGGCTGTAACGTAACAAAATGTGGAAAAAGTGAAGGGGTCTGAATACTTTCCGAATGCACTGTATCTGCAATGTTCTGTAACATCTTTCATTCTCCTGAACAGACCCCTAAACAGGTTTGTGCTGCATCATGTTTCTGACCACTGACAGGAGGTAATGATAAGGTTTAAACAAACAGAAACCTAAGCCCAGTGCCTCACGTTCTTTAGCCCAGGGTTTCCCAAACTCGGACCTGCCCCCCCCCCCCCCCCCTGGGTGCACATTTTGTGAGAAATTGCCAAGAAACTGAAGATCTTGTACAACGCTGTGTACTACTCCCTTCACAAAACAGCGCAAACTGTCTCTAACCAGAATAGAAAGAGGAGTGGGAGGCCCCAGTGCACAACTGAGCAAGAGGACAAATACATTTGTTTCTAGTTTGAGAAACAGACGCCTCACAGGTCCTCATCTGGCAGCTTCATTAAATAGTACCCGCAAAACACCAGTCTCAACGTCAACAGTGAAGAGGCGACTCCGGGATGCTGACCTTCTAGGCAGAGTTGCAAAGAAAAAGCCATATCTCAGACTGGCCAATAAAAGATTAAGATGGGCAGTCTGAGATATGGCTTTTTCTTTGCAACTCTGCCTAGAAGGTCAGCATCCCGGAGTCGCCTCTTCACTGTTGACGTTGAGACTGGTGTTTTGCGGGTACTATTTAATGAAGCTGCCAATTGAGGACCTGTGAGCCTGTAATCGACATTTAATCCTAGTAAAAATTCCCTATCTTAGGTACTTAGGATCACCACTTTATTTTAAGAATGTGAAATGTCAGAATAATAGTAGAGAATTATTTATTTCAGCTTTTATTTCTTTCATCACATTCCCAGTGGGTCAGAAGTTTACATACACTCAATTAGTATTTGGTAGCATTGCCTTTAAATTGTTTAACTTGGGTCAAATGTTTTGGGTAGCCTTCCACAAGCTTCCCACAATAAGTTGGGTGAATTTTGGCCCATTCCTCCTGACAGAGCTGGTCAGGGTTGTAGGCCTCCTTGCTCGCACACGCTTTTTCAGTTCTGCCCACACATTTTCTATAGGATTGAGGTCAGGGCTTTGTGATGGCCACTCCAACACCTTGACTTTGTTGTCCTTAAGCCATTTTGCCACAACTTTGGAAATATGCTTGGGGTCATTGTCCATTTGGAAGACCCATTTGCGACCAAGCTTTAACTTCCTGACTGATGTCTTGAGATGTTGCTTCAATATATCCACATAATTTCCCTTCCTCATGATGCCATCTATTTTGTGAAGTGCACCAGTCCCTCCTGCAGCAAAGCACCCCCACAGCATGATGCTGCCACCCCCGTGCTTCACGGTTGGGATGGTGTTCTTCGGCTTGCAATCAATCCCCTTTTTCCTCCAAACATCATGGTCATTATGGCCAAACAGTTCTATTTTTGTTTCATCAGACCAGAGGACATTTCTCCAAAAAGTACGATCTTTGTCCCCATGTGCAGTTGCAAACCATAGTCTGGCTTTTTTATGGTGGTTTTGGAGCAGTGGCTTCTTCCTTGCTGAGCGGCCTTTCAGGTTATGTCAAGATGGGACTCATTTTACTGTGGATATAGATACTTTTGTACCTGTTTCCTCCAGCATCTTCACAAGGTCCTTTGCTGTTGTTCTGGGATTGATTTGCACTTTTCGCACCAAAGTAAGTTCATCTCTAGGAGACAGAACGCGTTTCCTTCCTGAGCGGTATGACGGCTGCGTGGTCCCATGGTGTTTATACTTGCGTACTATTGTTTGTACAGATGAAAGTGGTACCTTCAGGCGTTTGGAAATTGCTCCCAAGGTTGAACCAGGTCTATAAAAAAATGTCTGAGGTCTTGGCTGATTTCTTTTGATTTTCCCATGAAAAAGAGCAAAGAGGCACTGAGTTTGAAGGTAGGCCTTGAAATACATCCACATGTACACCTCCAATTGACTCAAATGATGTCAATTAGACTATCAGAAGCTTCTAAAGCCATGACATCATTTTCAAGGAATTTTCCAAGCTGTTTAAAGGCACAGTCAACTTAGCGTATGTAAACTTCTGACCCACTGGAATTGTGATACAGTGAATTATAAATTAAATAATCTGTCTGTAAACAATTGTTGGAAAAATGACTTGTGTCATGCACAAAGTAGATGTCCTAACCGACTTGCCAAAACTATAGTTTGTTAACAAGAAATTTGTGGAGTGGTTGAAAAACGAGTTTTAATGACCCCAACCTAAGTGTATGTAAACTTCCGACTTCAACTGTAATTGCAAAAGGGTTTTCTAATGATCACTAAGCCTTTTAAAATGATAAACTTGGATTAGCAAACACAACGTGCCATTGGAACACAGGACTGATGGTTGGTGATAATGGGCCTCTGTATGCCTATATAGATATTCCATAAAATATCAGCTGTTTCCAGCTACAATAGCCATTTACAACATTATCAATGTCTACACTGTATTTCTGATCAATTGCTTTTCTTTCGAAAACAAGGAACATTTCTAAGTGACCCCAAACTTTTGAAATGGTAGTGTAGGTTCATAGATCACCTGCTGCAACTCATAGAAAATAGGCTGTTTCAGGTTCAAATATGTCATCACTCGTGGCATCTTTTGTTTTCTCAAATCAACCTAATTGATACAGAAGCTCTTTGATTTTTTGTGATTTTCCTGTTATAAGATGATGGTCCCAGACTCCCTCTTGTGGTTGAATAGTACATATTTCTAGCATATCTGAAGCTGCACTGTGGACAGATCAAACAGTGTGGGAGATGTACGCCGTATGTACAAAAATTCGACCGTAGCCTCTGCTTACATAGCAATGTTGGGCATATATCTCCACCTGACCTCTGAGGGAGACTGTTGGTCTCTGACTGTTTGGTTCCTTTTAGAAAATAAATACGGTCTCTGTACTGGCAGTACAAGGCAGGTAGCCTCGTCCCAGATCTGTTTGTGCTGTCTTGCCAACTCCTATGGCCATTGACAGCACAAACAGATCTGGGACCAGGTTACAAGTCAGGGCAATGTAACCCGAACTTAAAGGGAACATCTGCAGGAGACGGCTGCATTAATTATAACTTGATAATTATTCAGATGAATAATGAAGACGACTGTGAGGGGCAATAAAAAGCTTTTGAGAAGCTGCCATATCATGTGACCTCAGGGATGTGCGGCTTTAATTCGCCTGCTGAATTTTTCATTCAGAGAAGATTGTCTATCTGTTATTACTTTAAAAATATAATAATCTTCAATCTCTCACTGTCTTCCTCATCATACTATTTTTTTTCTCAAAGTCTGAGGATTTTTCAATGTATTCATCTTTTAAGAGCTCATACTAAACTAATGCACATGTGCTGGTTCTAATAGGTGGAACTGAACTGGGTGCTTTGTGGAAGGAATTATTATAATTAATGATGTGGTATTGTATGGTCTCTCCCCCTCTCTCTGCAGCCATCTTCCTCCAGCAGTGTCATTTCCTCAGGCAGGCCGGCCACTCAGAGAAAGCTGTGTGTCTGTTCCAGGGCCTGCTGGACTTCACCTTCTTCAAGCCAGACACTGTCAAGGACCTACCCACCAGACAACAGGTACACACACACACACACACACACACACACACACAGTCATTCCCCAAGTACCTCTGCAAAGAACACACATGTTCAAACACATGCACGCATATACAGCTGGTAGCTCCCTCCAGAATAGACTGATGATGAATTGGGGTCTGTGTTACTGTATTGGCTGTTGATCCAAAGCCAGTGCACCAATGCTGTTTGTTTTCTGTCACTGGCATTAAAGCAGTGCTGGGGCCCTCTCCAGAGAGTGCCCTTCAGACTGGTCTGGGCCTTGTCACTTTACACACTACATGGAAACTTTACTAAGGGGGGCGTTTAAAATGCATGACCAGGTTTTAATAGATACTTTTTTCCAGCAGTGGGGCATTCTAATTCGAGAAAGAACACATAATGGCCTGTTTTCTCTTCCTTCAGGACTGCTGCAGTGGCTCACAGCTCACTGTCCCCCCCAGCACCAGCAGCATTAGATAAATGAGACATGATTATGAATGTATAATACCTCGAATGAAGGAAGGACATGTTGCTGTGTGTGTGTCCGCATGGTAAACCCAGCATTAGCTTTCATTAACTGTTTTAATTGATCAGGGCTGTATTTTTTTGATGAGAGATCGTCCAGTCCCTTAACACTACGTCTCTGTTCCAAGGTCCATACTAGCGTAGCGCTATCATGAAGCAATATGTATTGGCCATGCATTTAAAGTGGTATGGATTGTGTGGCTATTGGAACACAGCCTAGGCCAATTTAGCTCTGTACTGTTAAGATATCACACCATATAGGATTTCTACCAGATTTGGAAGTACTGATACCCAAAGCTCCATGTTCAGAGCCTGTCTGTCTTTTGTCTCAGAGACGGTGTTCTTATTTAGTAAGAATATAAATGGGTTGGATCCCAACGCTGCCACCAAATGTAAGATGACTATATGGATATATAAAATGCTTCTGCTGTTGGATTCGTCACCAAGTAATTAGAAAGAAGATCTCCTTTTCAGGCAAAATAAATTAATCTTAATGACGACAAGAGAGACTCTCTGTGGCTTTACTCTGTAATCATCTGATTATTAGAAAATGATCTAAGCAGTGTCTCCTCCAGAAACGATTGCAGTATTAAACAGGACCACATTTTATTCCACACTCTAATGAGTTTCTACTGTTCTCCATGGAGGTCTGGTCTGCAGAGAGAGACACGCACTAGCATGGAGGGGCTAATTCATTACATCTAGTTACTGACCTGCAGGCTGTCCTGCAGTGCAGCCTAATGTTGTTCTTCCTGTCAGGAGAACTGCTGACCTCAGTGCAGATAAAGACAACTGCCCATCAACCCATGAAACATGATATGTTTGAAATTATTACATTTTTGTAATACCTGACATTCCCTCTCCTCCACCCTCTGTGTGATTGTACAGTATTAATTACTGTATTATTGAGGGATTGATTTATATAAATATCTGTGTTGTATTAAACCATCCCATTGGCCTTTGCCCTTTGTGGTCCTCCAGGTGGAGTTCTTTGAGCCATTCTGGGACAGTGGGGAGCCCCGTGTCGGGGAGAGAGGGGCCAGTGGATGGAGAGCCTGGATGACCCAGCAGGAGAGAGGGGGCTGGCTCCAACCCAGTGAACAAGGTTAACAACTTTATAGCCTTGCCTATACTAAAACCTGTGCTAACACTTTACATGGTTGCTCTTATTTCTGTGTTATAACACTGTAATTACACTAGTAACAGTGTTGTAACGTTACAACACTAAATCATAGTGTGTCCATCCTCACTGGTCCAACCTACTTTAGCACCCGTCTGGGGCGGCAGGTAGCTTAGTGGTTAAGAGCGTTGTGCCAGTAACCGAAAGGTCGCTGGTTCTAATCCCCGAGCCAACTAGGTGAAAAATCTGTCGATGTGCCCTTGAGCAAGGCACTTAATCCTAATTGCTCCTGTAAGTTGCTCTGGATAAGAGCGTCTGCTAAATGACTAAAATGTAATGTTAACCTTTGGAACCTCTATGTGACAGATGATGAAGATGATGAAGATCAGGAAGAATCGGAGGTGAAGGATAAGACATGGCCCAAGTGGAGGATCTGGTTGGACGTGGAGACATCACGCGAGGCCATCCATTGGCTGCCGTGGAGGCCGGACAAAACCAAGGGCCAATCGGTGGAGGACTGTGAGGACCCGGACCGACAGGTATTGGCTGTGATTACTGGTGATAGTGGTGCCAAAACTGGGATATATCTACCATTAAAAACGGGTTGCTATTTATGTCTTACCACTTGCCTGCATGTGTGTGTTCCATGTAGGTGCTGTTTGATGACATTGGGCCGTCTTTGATCCGGCTGGTCCGCCCAGACCTCCAGCTGCGTCTTCTTCTGTCCTTCCTACACTTTCTGGGTCTGCCTGCTGACACTTCCTGTTACAGTGCCCCCTCCTGGAGCCTGCTGCTGGACGACCAGGCTCTGCTGGGGGATGTTCACCACCCTGACTCACCTCTGACCTCCTATGACCTCCCTGTCCCTGGGGTCAGCCCCGTGGGTCACATGACCTCTCTGCAGGGTGCCAGGAGGGGGGCGGGGCTGTGTAAGCAGGGGGAGGAATTTCTAGACAACGTGTTCCAGATGGTTCTGCCTCTGTTCTCTGCTCAGGAGAGAGCTGTCCTCTCACTGCACTGGATCCAGTATGAGAAGCTCAAGGTAAACCCATGTTACCCAAGCTATAAGCTTTAGAGCCAGGCAAGCATATGCTCAGCCAAGTGCGATTACTTTGGTTTGAGAGGCTTTCTTCAATCGTGAAGGAATTTAAACCTAATTGTAAAGTCAGGATGAAATTTACGTATTTTCATTCCATTTTAATGCCGAACTTTGTGTCCTTCTCCCTCTCATTCTCCATTGAGATTCTCCCACTAATGCACCTGTCTCTCCTGTCTCTCCTGTCCTCCCACTCTGTATGTAACATTAAGGTGCTGAGGTGCGTGCGCGGCAGGAACAAGAGGCATGTGAAATTCCAGGGGAAGAGGAGCAAACGCCTGGCCAAGCGCCTGCTGAAGGAGCCAGAGAACCGGGGCCGCCTCAGCCTGTGGAGGGAGTATGCCCACCTGGAGTGGCTGCTAGGGAATTTGGATGAGGCCCACAAGGTGTTCGACACAGCCCTGGGACTGGGCGTGGCAGGAGGGCTGGCAGACCCTGCCCTGTGTGACCTCTGCCTGCTCTACGCCCAGCTGGAGGTAGAGGAGGCCTGGCGAAGGGGTACGGGCGGAGCAGGGACAACTGTTACGACCGCCATGTCTTCACCAGCGGTCTATATCCTCACCAAGCTAGCAGAGGGTAGTTCGTATGCCCCCTTCTTGGGACAGTTGGCTCCAGTGGCCGTTCTGAAGGCCAGGAAGGCCTATGAGCAGGCTGTGGTGAGCTCCCTGCCTGGGCTGGAGGAGGGGGCCGCGGGGCAGGGGCACTCCAAGAAGCCCAGGCGGGTCAAAGGTCTGGTGGGGTGTTACGCCCTGTTCCAGTACCTGACTGTGGGGGTCGATGCTGCTGATGCAGTCTACAGTCTGGCCAGGAAGAGGCTGGAGCAACACTCCAGTATGTCAGCACAGGAGTCATCTAGCAGTGAAGTTATCAGTGACATACAGACACAGAGCTCTGTCTCAGATTGTGAGGCCCTGGCTGTCCAGCAGGCGGCGCTGCTGCGCTACCACACCAGCACCAACGTGTACCCACTTAGCCATATCAGACTGGCGCTGACCTCGGCCCTGGCCCACTTTGCCTCTAGCGCCCCCCTGTGGCAGTTGTACGTGCAGGTGGAGAACCGCTACCACAGCGCCGGCAGGGCTCGACGCTTCTTCCACAGCTTGACCAAGGCTAGTGCCAGTGTCATGCCACGCCTGTTCGCCATCAGTGCAGAGCAGCAGAGGAAGCAGCTGGTGGACTCTGTTCAGAGGTGAGAACACTGAAGATGGAAGGCTCTAATCAGTATCACTTAATAATGTCAAAAACAGAACACACACACACACACAAATGGATAGTACTACTATAGTAGCTCACATTTAGATTCATTTCGTTAACTAACTGGATGTTTTTTGATGAGGTCTTGTTTTCTTCTTGGCAGGTCTAATTGCTATGGCGACACCCTCTCCACCCTGCCAGAGAACGGCCTGAGCAACCGTATCCGCTCGCTGTTTGAGAATGCCATAGCAACGGAGCACGGGGTCCACTGCCCGTTGCTGTGGAGGATGTACATGAACTTCCTGGTAAGACACCTCTTTAAAACACATTAACTTCCTGGTAAGACGCCTCTTTAAAACATGAACTTCCTGTTAATACACCTCTTTAAAACACCCTTAAATCATTACAGTTATCAGAACCTCAGGTTTGTTCCAGTAATCAAGTGATGAAGGAGACTTGGAAGTATGTCTGAAGCTGGCGTCTGGTGTTTTGAAGTGTACTGTAGCTGACGTATGGTGTTTTGTTGTACTGTAGCTGACGTCTGGTGTTTTGTTGTACTGTAGCTGACGTCTGGTGTTTTGTTGTACTGTAGCTGACGTCTGGTGTTTTGTTGTGGTGTTCTTTAGCTGACGTCTGGTGTTTTGTTGTGGTGTACTGTAGCTGACGTCTGGTGTTTTGTTGTGTGTTGTAACTGACGTCTGGTGTTTTGTTGTGTGTTGTAGCTGACGTCTGGTGTTTTGTTGTGTGTTGTAGCTGATGTCTGGTGTTGTGTTGTGGTGTACTGTAGCTGACGTCTGGTGTTGTGTTGTAGCTGACGTCTGGTGTTGTGTGTTGTAGCTGACGTCTGGTGTTGTGTTGTGGTGTACTGTAGCTGACGTCTGGTGTTGTGGTGTACTGTAGCTGACGTCTGGTGTTTTGTTGTGGTGTACTGTAGCTGACGTCTGGTGTTTTGTTGTGGTGTACTGTGGCTGACGTCTGGTGTTTTGTTGTGTGTTGTAGTGTATGTCTGGTGATTTGTGTTGTAACTGACGTCTGGTGTTTTGTTGTGTGTTGTAACTGATGTCTGCTGTTTTGTGGTGTACTGTAGCTGATGTTTGGTGTTTTGTTGTGTGTTGTAGCTGACGTCTGGTGTTGTGTGTTGTAGCTGATGTCTGGTGTTTTGTGGTGTACTGTAGCTGACGTCTGGTGTTTTGTGGTGTACTGTAGCTGACGTCTGGTGTTTTGTGGTGTACTGTAGCTGACGTCTGGTGTTTTGTGGTGTACTGTAGCTGACGTCTGGTGTTTTGTGGTGTACTGTAGCTGACGGCTGGTGTTTTGTTGTGTGTTGTAGCTGACGTCTGGTGTTTTTGTTGTAGTTGATGTCCAGTGTTTTGTACTGTAGCTGACGTCTGGTGTTTTGTTGTGTGTTGTAGTTGACGTCTGGTGTTTTGTACTGTAGCTGATGTCTTGGTATTTTGTTGTGTGTTGTAGCTGACGTCTGGTGTTGTAGCTGACGTCTTGTGTTGTAGCTGACGTCTGGTGGTGTGTTGTAGCTGACGTCTGGTGTTGTGTGTTGTAGCTGATGCCTGGTGTTTTGTGGTGTGTTGTAGCTGACGTCTGGTGTTGTAGCTGACATCTGGTGTTGTTGTAGCTGACGTCTGGTGTTGTGTTGTAGCTGACGTCTGGTGTTGTGTTGTGGTGTACTGTAGCTGACGTCTGGTGTTTTGTTGTGGTGTACTGTAGCTGACGTCTGGTGTTTTGTTGTGGTGTACTGTAGCTGACGTCTGGTGTTGTGTGTTGTAGCTGACGTCTAGTGTTTTGTTGTGGTGTACTGTAGCTGACGTCTGGTGTTTTGTTGTGGTGTACTGTGGCTGACGTCTGGTGTTTTGTTCTGGTGTATTGTATCTGACGTCTGCTGTTTTGTTTTGGTGTACTGTATCTGACGTCTGCTGTTTTGTTGTGTGTTGTAACTGATGTCTGCTGTTTTGTGGTGTACTGTAGCTGATGTCTGGTGTTTTGTTGTGTGTTGTAGCTGACGTCTGGTGTTGTGTGTTGTAGCTGATGTCTGGTGTTTTGTGGTGTACTGTAGCTGACGTCTGGTGTTTTGTGGTGTACTGTAGCTGACGGCTGGTGTTTTGTTGTGTGTTGTAGCTGACGTCTGGTGTTTTTGTTGTTGTTGATGTCCAGTGTTTTGTACTGTAGCTGACGTCTGGTGTTTTGTTGTGTGTTGTAGTTGACGTTTGGTGTTTTGTACTGTAGCTGATGTCTTGGTATTTTGTTGTGTGTTGTAGCTGACGTCTGGTGTTGTAGCTGATGTCTGGTGGTGTGTTGTAACTGACGTCTGGTGTTGTGTGTTGTAGCTGACGTCTGGTGTTGTGTGTTGTAGCTGACGTCTGGTGTTTTGTTGTGGTGTACTGTGGCTGACGTCTGGTGTTTTGTTTTGGTGTACTGTAGCTGACGTCTGGTGTTTTGTTGTGTGTTGTAGCTGACGTCTGGTGTTGTAGCTGATGTCTGGTGTTTTGTGGTGTACTGTAGCTGACGTCTGGTGTTTTGTGGTGTACTGTAGCTGACGGCTGGTGTTTTGTTGTGTGTTGTAGCTGACGTCTGGTGTTTTTGTTGTAGTTGATGTCCAGTCTTTTGTACTGTAGCTGATATCTGGTGTTTTGTTGTGTGTTGTAGCTGACGTCTGGTGTTGTAGCTGACGTCTGGTGTTGTGTGTTGTAGCTGACGTCTGGTGTTGTGTGTTGTAGCTGACGTCTGGTGTTTTGTTGTGGTGTACTGTGGCTGACGTCTGGTGTTTTGTTTTGGTGTACTGTAGCTGACGTCTGGTGTTTTGTTGTGTGTTGTAGCTGACGTCTGGTGTTGTAGCTGATGTCTGGTGTTTTGTGGTGTACTGTAGCTGACGTCTGGTGTTTTGTGGTGTACTGTAGCTGACGGCTGGTGTTTTGTTGTGTGTTGTAGCTGACGTCTGGTGTTTTTGTTGTAGTTGATGTCCAGTCTTTTGTACTGTAGCTGATATCTGGTGTTTTGTTGTGTGTTGTAGCTGACGTCTGGTGTTGTAGCTGACGTCTGGTGTTGTGTGTTGTAGCTTATGTCTGGTGTTTTGTGGTGTACTGTAGCTGACGTCTGGTGTTTTGTGGTGTACTGTAGCTGACGTCTGGTGTTTTGTTGTAGTTGACGTCTGGTGTTTTGTGTTGTAGTTGACGTCTGGTGTTTTGTACTGTAGCTGATGTCTGGTGTTTTGTTGTGTGTTGTAGCTGACGTCTGGTGTTGTGTGTTGTAGCTGACGTCTGGTGTTGTGTTGTAGCTGACGTCTGGTGTTGTGTGTTGTAGCTGACGTCTGGTGTTGTGTTGTGTGTTGTAGCTGACGTCTAGTGTTGTGTTGTAGCTGACGTCTAGTGTTGTGTTGTAGCTGACGTCTTGTGTTGTGGTGTGTTGTAGCTGACGTCTGGTGTTGTTGTGTGTTGTAACTGACGTCTGGTGTTGTGTGTTGTAGCTGACGTCTGGTGTTGTGTGTTGTAGCTGACGTCTGGTGTTTTGTTGTGGTGTACTGTAGCTGACGTGTGGTGTTTTGTTGTGGTGTACTGTAGCTGACGTCTGGTGTTTTGTTGTGGTGTACTGTAGCTGACGTCTGGTGTTTTGTTTTGGTGTACTGTAGCTGACGTCTGGTGTTTTGTCGTGTGTTGTAGCTGACGTCTGGTGTTTTGTCGTGTGTTGTAGCTGACGTCTGGTGTTTTGTCGTGTACTGTAGCTGACGTCTGGTGTTTTGTTCTGGTGTACTGTAGCTGACGTCTGGTGTTTTGTTGTGGTGTTTTTTATCTGACGTCTGGTGTTTTGTTGTGGTGTACTGCAGCTGACGTCTGGTGTTTTGTTGTGGTGTTCTTTAGCTGACGTCTGGTGTTTTGTTGTGGTGTACTGCAGCTGAAGTCTGGTGTTTTGTTGTGGTGTACTATATCTGACGTCTGGTGTTTCGTTGTGTTCTTTAGCTGACGTCTGGTGTTTTGTGTACTGTAGGTGTCAGAGGGGAAGGTGGAGAAGGGAAGAGGGATCTTCTACAAGGCTCTTCAGGACGTCCCATGGGCCAAGGTGAGCACAGTGACCGATGAAATTATGAAACTGTGATAATTAGTTAGCTCTTTGGTGTGTTTTGGTCAAAATATATGACATGGTTTCTGACGTGTGTGTGCGCGTCCATCCATCCAAAGGGTTTATACATGGACGCGGTGCAGCTCTTCCCTGAGCACGTGCAGGAGTTCCTGGATCTGATGACAGAGAAGGAGCTCAGACTGAGGGTTCCCATGGAGGAGGTGGACATACTGCTGGAGGACTGAGGCTCTAAAACCCTTCCCACAGTGCACTGGGGCCTGGCTTCCTCAGACACTCCACTGTGGACACCCAGAAGTTGTGCACTGACCAATAGAACGACCAAGTGTCCTCATGCATTTTACTTTTCAAACAGATGTGTGAATAAATGATGTTACACGTATTAGTGTTAATTCAATATTTTGATGGAATGCATATCCATATTTCCATATTTTTATATTTCCAGCTTTTTATGGATTCTTAATCCATATTTTGATGGTTTAAATATCCTATTTTTATGTCAAAGATTTGTTGTGAAACTGATAAAAACAGTGTTTATTTGAACTAAACGTTTTGTTTCCTAATACTGGCTTATCAACCTTTATTTAAGAATGAGCTCTGAGGTTTCAGCCAATGTGAACCCTGAGGGATGCTTGTGTACATTTCCTGCGTGGATGACGACATCATCACAGCTTAACAGTGTGGAAAGGAGCACACCTGAGTGTACACTTCAGAGTCGGGAAGGAGAGAGGAAACACCGAGATGAGGGTAGAGAAGCTTTGTATAGTCTCATTAGTGCTTGCCCTTCAGAGTAGTAGAGCATCTACTCTGGCTGTCTCGGGTGAGTCTGACGCTTCTGATGTTCCTCTGTGAATTTACTGGATTGGCCTCTCCCTTTACTACATACTACTCAGGCTATGCTATGGTGATGTAGAATTTCATTAGTGAAATATATGGTAAGATATGGATATCAAGTAGTCTTGCTGATCCTATGTAGTGATTTCTCATAGCTGTATTTCCTTTTTTTCTGAAAGCACATCATCTGACAACTTTTGTTTTGTATAGCCGAAGAACACCATCCCAACCGTGAAGCACGGGGGAGGCAGCATCATGCTGTGGGGGTGCTTTGCTGCAGGAGGGACTGGTGCACTTCACAAAATAGATGGCATCATGAGGAAGCAAAAGTATGTGGATATATTGAAGCAACATCTCAAGACATCAGTCAGGAAGTTAAAGCTTGGTCGCAAATGGGTCTTCCAAATGGACAATGACCCCAAGCATACTTCCAAAGTTGTGGCAAAATGGCTTAAGGACAACAAAGTCAAGGTGTTGGAGTTGCCATCACAAAGCCCTGACCTCAATCCTATAGAAAATGTGTGGGCAGAACTGAAAAAGCATGTGCGAGCAAGGAGGCCTACAACCTGACTCAGTTACACCAGCTCTGTCAGGAGGAATGGGCCAAACTTCACCCAACTTATTGTGGGAAGCTTGTGGAAGGCTACCCAAAACGTTTGACCCAAGTTAAACAATTTAAAGGCAATGCTACCAAATACTAATTGAGTGTATGTAAACTTCTGACTCACTGGGAATGTGATGAAAGAAATAAAAGCTGAAATAAATCATTCTCTCTACTATTATTCTGACATTTCACATTCTTAAAATAAAGTGGTGATCCTAACTGACCTAAGACAGGGAATTTTTACTGGGATTAAATGTCAGGAATTGTGAAAAACTGAGTTTAAATGTATTTGGCTAAGGTGTAAGGTGACAAGCTTTTTTCCGGATGCCCCAAACAATCGGAAAGGGTATTCATCATTGAAAATGACTTTACCCCAGTCCTCAGCAGTCCAATCCCTGTACCTTTTGCAGAATATCAGTCTGTCCCTGATGTTTTTCCTGGAGAGAAGTGGCTTCCTCGCAGCCCTTCTTGACACCAGGCCACCCTCCAAAAGTCTTCGCCTCACTGTGTGTGCAGATGCACTCACACCTGCCTGCTGCCATTCCTGAGCAAGCTCTGCACTGGTGGTGCTCCGATCCCGCAGCTGAATCAACTTTAAGAGACGGTCCTGGCGCTTGCTGGACTTTCTTGAAGTTCTTGATGATCCGATAAATGGTTGATTTAGGTACAATCTTACTAGCAGCAATATCCTTGTCTGTGAAACCCTTTTTGTGCAAAGCAATGATGACGGCACGTGTTTCCTTGCATGTAACCATGGTTAACAGAGGAAGAACAATGATTTCACCCTCCTTTTAAAGCTTCCAATCTGTTATTCTAACTCAATCAGTATGACAAAGTGATCTCCAGCCTTGTCCTCGTCAACACTCTCACCTGTGTTAACAAGAGAATCACTGACAGGATTTCAGCTGGTCCTTTTGTGGCCGGGCTGAAATGCAGTGGAAATGTTTTTTGGGGATTAAGTTCATTTTCATGGCAAAGAAGGACTTTGCAATGAATTGCAATTCATCTGATCACTCTTCATAACATTCTGGAGTATATGCAAATTGCCATCATTAAAACTGAGGCAGCAGACTTTGTGAAAATTAATATTTGTGTCATTCTCAAAACTTTTGACCACGACTGTATATGTTACAGAATACTGCCTCACGAAAATATTGAAGCCACGTTGGTTGAGAGTCCTGTGGTTGCCCTCCAGCACAACATCCAGGAGGTTTATCAGGATCTCCGGGAGGTTTTCTCCAAGACCTGCGCCACCTGTCTCCCTCCTCATCGCCTCTGGGACTGTGCCATCGACCTGCTAGCAGAATCTACACCTCCGCTCAGCCGAGCCTACCCCCTGTCGGTGGTTGAAACCAAGGCCATGGAGGAGTACATCCAGGAGGCTCTCCAACAGGGTTTCATCCACCCATCCACCTTCTCTGCGTCGGTAGGCTTCTTCTTCGTGGCCAAGGAGGGAGGTCTACGTCCGTGCATCGACTACAGAGGTCTCAATTCCATCACCACCAAGTACCGCTACCCTCTCCTGTTGGTGTCGGCCGCCATCGAACAGCTCCACGCGGCCCGTTTTTTAAACTAAACTGGACCTGTGGAGTGCCTACAATCTCATAAATCTGGGAGGGGGATGAATGGAAAATAGCCTTTAGCACGATGTCTGAGCACTATGAGTACTTGGTGATGCCTTATGGATTAGCCAATGCTCCGTCTGTGTTCCAGGCATTCGTCAACAAGGTGTTCTGGGACATGCTTTGGAGTCAGGTGGTCATGTATATCGACGACATCCTGATCTACTCGGCCACCTTGGAGGATCACATCGCCTACGTCCGGGTAGTCCTGGGACGCCTCCTGGAAAACCATCTGTACGTCAAAGCGGAGAAGTGCCAGTTGCATCAGGCCGCTGTCTCCTTCTTGGGATATCGGATCAGCCCGCAGGGAGTGGTTATGGAGGAGAGGAAGGTCGACGCAGTCAGGTCATGGCAAGTCCCAACCACCATAAAGGGACAACGTTTTTTGGGTTTTTCCAACTTCTACTGCCGCTTCATTAACTTCAGCTCCATCGCCTCTTCTCTCAACTCTCTCCTCAAAGGTGGTCCTGCTGCCGATGAGGCCTTCCGTCTACTGAAGGGGCGTTTCACCTCTGCCCTGTTGCTCAAACACCCAGATCCTATTACTTTTATACTATTCCAGGTATTCCTTAAAGAGGTAGGGTTTCAAGTGTCTCCGGAAGGTGGTCAGTGACTCTGCTGTCGTGGGGGAGCTTGTTCCACCATTGGGGTGCCAGAGCAGCGAATAGCTTTGACTGGGCTGAACGGGAACTGTGCTTCCGTAGAGGTAGGGGGGCTAGCAGGCCAGAGGTGGATGAACGTAGTGCCCTCGTTTGGGTGTAGGGTCTGATCAGAGCCTGAAGGTAAGGAGGTGCCGTTCCCCTCACAGCTCCGTAGACAAGCACCATGGTCTTGTAGTAGATGCAAGCCTCAACTGGAAGCCAGTGGAGTGTGCGGAGGAGCAGGGTGACATGAGAGAATTTGGGAAGGTTGAACACCAGACGGGCTGCAGCGTTCTGGATAAGTTGTAGGGGTTTAATGGCACAGGCAGGGAGCCCAGCCAACAGCGAGTTGCAGTAATTCAGACGGGAGATGACAAGTGCCTGGATTAGGACCTGTGCCGCTTTCTGTGTAAGGTAGGGTCGTACTCTGCGAATGTTGTAGAGCATGAACCTGCAGGATCGGGACACCGCTTTGATGTTAGCAGAGAACGACAGGGTGTTGTCCAGGGTCACGCCAAGGTTCTTTGCACTCTGGGAGGAGGACACAATGGAGTTGTCAACCGTGATGGTGAGAACATGGAGTGGGCAGTCCTTCCCCGGGAGAAAGAGCAGCTCCGTCTTGCCGAGGTTCAGCTTGAGGTGGTGATCCGACATCCACACTGATATGTCTGCCAGACATGCAGAGATGCGATTCGCCACCTGGTTATCAGAAGGGGGAAAGGAGAAAATGAATTGTGTGTCGTCTGCGTAGCAATGATAGGAGAAACCATGTGAGGATATGACAGAGCCAAGTGACTTGGTGTATAGAGAGAATAGGAGAGGGCCTAGAACTGAGCCCTGGGGGACACCAGTGGTGAGAGCACGTGGTGACTGGTAGGAGCGACCTGTCAGGTAGGACGCAATCCAAGAGTGAGCAGCGCCGGAGATGCCCAACTCGGAGAGGGTGGAGAGGAGGATCTGATGGTTCACAGTATCAAAGGCAGCAGATAGGTCTAGATGGATAAGAGCAGAGGAGAGAGAGTTAGCTTTGGCAGTGCGGAGAGCCTCCGTGACACAGAGAAGAGCAGTCTCAGTTGAATGACCAGTCTTGAAACCTGACTGGTTAGGATCAAGAAGGTCATTCTGAGAGAGAGAGCAGGAGAGTTGGCTAGAGACAGTACGCTCAAGAGTTTTGGAGAGAAAATAAAGAAGGGATACTGGTCTGTAGTTGTTGACATCGGAGGGATTGAGTGTAGGTTTTTTGAGGGGTGCAACTCTCACCCTCTTGAAGACGGAAGGGACATAGCCAGCGGTCAAGGATGAGTTGATGAGCGAGGTGAGGTAAGGGAGAAGGTATCCGGAAATGGTTTGGAGAAGAGAGGAGGGTATAGGGTCAAGCGGGCAGGTTGTTGGGCGGCCGGCCGTCACAAGTCTCAAGATTTCATCTGGAGAGAGAGGGGAGAAAGAAGTCAAAGCATAGGGTAGGGCAGTGTGAGCAGGACCAGCGGTGTCATTTGACTTAATAAATGAGGATCGGATGTCGTCAACCTTCTTTTCAAAATGATTGACGAAGTCATTCACAGAGCGGGAGAAGGGAGGAGGAGAAGGTGGCAAAGAGTTTCCTAGGGTTAGAGGCAGAGGCTTGAAATTTAGAGTGGTAGAAAGTGGCTTTAGCAGCAGAAACAGAGGAAGAAAAAGTAGAGAGGAGGGAGTGAAAAGATGACAGGTCCGCAGGGAGTCTAGTTTTCCTCCATTTCCGCTCGGCTGCCCGGAGCCCTGTTCTGTGAGCTCGCAATGAGTCGTCAAGCCACGGAGCAGGAGGGGAGGACCGAGCCAGCCGGGAGGATAGGGGACATAGAGAGTCAAAAGATGCAGAAAGGGAGGAGAGGAGGGTCGAGGAGGCAGAATCAGGAGACCGGAGGGAGAAGGATTTAGCAGAGGGAAGAGATGATAGGATGGAAGAGGAGAGAGTAGCAGGAGAGAGCGAAGATTGCGACTGAGTTGGGGCAGAGTGAGTAGTGTTGGAGGAGAGTGAAAGAGAAAAGGATACAAAGTAGTGGTCGGAGACTTGGAGGGGAGTTGCAGTGAGATTAGTAGAAGAACAGCAACTAGTAAAGATGAGGTCAAGCGTATTGCCTGCCTTGTGAGTAGGGGGGGATGGTGAGAGGGTGAGGTCAAAAGAGGAAAGGAGTGGAAAGAAGGAGGCAGAGAGAAATGAGTCAAAGGCAGATGTAGGGAGGTTAAAGTCACCCAGAACTGTGAACTGTGTTGCCTGATGACCCGCGATACAAGCTCATTTTCTTCCACATTCATTCTCCTCGCAGCCTCTCCTCTAATAACTTTCTCAAAGTGAAGCGAGAGAGGACGCAAGAGTTGAGCAAATCTAACTCAGTATGGAGAAGCTGAATGTATGTCCTCACAACCAGTATGTCACCTCCGTCTGTTGTGATGACTCACCTGCCATATCAACTGCTGTTGCACCTGTGCTATGACAACATCACTGTCAACTGCATCCAGTGTAAGCAAGAGAATGGGTTCGTTTGAGTGTTAAGGCGAAAGCAACCTACTATAGACAAAAGTTTAGGAGGTGCATCTGCGATAGCCGAAAGTCAGACACCGATGTGGTTTTCCAACAGCAAGGCATAGTGCAACATGGCAGTGTTTCCATTGTTTATAAAAGTTATTTATATCCCTTCTAGGCAAATCCTCACCTTATCTTAGCTCATTGGTCACCATAGCAACATTCACCCGTAGTATGCGTTCCAGCAGGTATATCTCACTGGTCATCCCCAAAGACAACACCTCCTTTGGTCGCCATTCCTTCCAGTTCTCTGCTGCAAATGACTGGAACGAACTGCAAACATCTCTGAAGCTGGAGACACTTATCTCCCTCATTATCTTTAAGCATCAGTTGTCAGAGCAGCTTACCGATCACTGCACCTGTACACAGCCCATCTGTAATTAGCCCACCCAACTACCTCATCCTCATATTGTTATTTACATTGTTTTTTATTTTGCTCATTTGCACCCCAGTATCTCTATTTGCACATCATCTTCTGCACATCTATCACTCCAGTGTTAATACTAAATTATAATTGTAATTATTTTGCACTATGGCCTATTTATTGCCTTACCTCCATAACTTACTACATTTGCACACACTGTATCTAGATTTTCTATTGTGTTATTGACTGTACGTTTTGTTTACCCCATATGTAACTCTGTGTTGTTGTTGTTTTTTCCGCACTGCTTTGCTTTATCTTGGCCAGGTCGCAGTTGCAAATGAGAACTTGTTCTCAACTGGCTTACCTGGTTAAATAAAGGTTAAATAAATAAAATATCGGAATCAACAGTTCTCCAACCCCCATATCACAGACTCACAAACTGTAAATATGTGTGTACATTGTACAATCAATTGGTGAGAGCCTCAAATCACATTTATTTGTACATATCCACTGTATACATGAATTGCGGCAGAGTTGGTCCCTGTTTCAGTCACGTCTTTGGTCACGTTCACGTGGGTCAAACAAAAACACCCTAATGATTGGTTGACAAAAGAGCCTCCCACAATGCAGGCGATGGCTGCAGGATGAAGTTGGAGAAGAGCAACTGCAGAAACTTTCAGTCGGCTGCCGTCAACTTCATGACCTTTGATCACATTAATTTTGTAAAGTCCATGCAGTCGACATGTACTGTAGGCGTAAGTCTGACAATTTTTATCCCCATAATGCAACACACTTTGAAAAGCGGTGACCAATTATGGTCACTGACTAGACAAAAGTGATCCACTCGAACGCACCCACAGTCTTCTATAGTATTGGCTCATATGTCTGATCTGCAGTGGGATTTGCCATGTATATCAGTATGATTTTAGACAGGCTTGGACATTAATTAAGTGGGCAATGGTTTCCTTTGTATAAATACACACACATTACTCTGTAGGCTATGTCTATCTGATGTCTCCTCTGGGTGACCTGAGTAAGTTTGGAATTATACATGAAATTGGAAATATCTCATGTTATTGAACTCTTCATCAGTGACTCCCAAGTGTCGTCTAATAAACCTGGAGATACTGGCTAAGCACAAGACAGGTACTATGATACCTGGGGGGAGTTCAGGGAAAAGGACCAATCAGACTGTGATGGAGCTGGTAGGTTCAGACCTGACAAGACACGGAGCCCCCTCATGGATGACAGACGTCACAGTCCAGTGAGTAAAATCATGAAGGAAACAATTTATTGTTAATGTTTTACAGTGTATTAATATTTGTAAAATATATGCTAAGTGATCAATAATTATGTTCTCTTTCATTTGTATTGTCATTGATATTCAATTCATATTTAAAGTGGAGTTCACAACTGTTGCAAAAACCAAGAATTAGATACGAAGGTATGCATCCTTCCTTTGCATTTTTTATTAAATAACACTGTTGGTATTAAAGCTGGACACTGGATACAACACAGATCTTATACATATGTGTGAGTAAGCAGGCACGTTTTCTAATACATGATTGTTTGGGATTGTGTGTGTGAGAGAGATCTGTCTTTATGAATGTGTCATCTGTGCCGGTCGGCCCCCTCCTCAGGTGCAGGAGCTGTACCAGATAGTGTCCATCTGCCTGACTGACAACAGGACAGACAAAGAGCCAGTGGACATAGCAACTGTGGCCTACTACATTGAGATGAGACATTTTAATGTAAGAGCTTTATCTGCTTTAAGACCCTTCAAAAAGGCTCTCTGTTTGATTGTAAATTCATTGAATATCTCTTTGTAACGTTCTATTTAAGGGCTTCATATTTTAAGAAATAATTCAAAGGAAAGGTGTTTTGTATAAAGGTCTGGTCAAGCTGGTATGTCTGGTGATATTTTGCTTTAACTACGCAGTGAAATGTAACTGTGTTGCCATCCCGTCTAGTTGAAAAGCAAAACGTTTGGGCTCGAGATGGACGGCCGGAGACTAGAGGTGGCGAGGGACTCCGTCAAGATCCTATTCTTTCACCATGAGCACCCACACATGGACATGAAGACCATCAATCCAGGCTTTGTTGCCCTCATCCTTGCTCTGGACATTATTATTGGTGTTTCTGAGTGAGTCTGAACGCATTAAAGCAAAACTCCTTTTACACTAGATTCAATGCATTACCACTGCTACCCTTTCATCACAACTTCTCCCTATCTCTTTGTCCATCACTACTGCTAGGTGGTGGTACGAAGGAAAGCTCAGCTGGAGAAAAGGAGATTCCAGTTTGAAGTCATTGAGAATAAACAATAACTGATAACAGTAAACTGCTGCATTAATCTGACCTCTTATAATGTTTTGTCCCGTATGGTACTCTCCTTTTTTAAATGCAGGTTCAAGGGCAGGACAACCACCTGGAGCAGCAAGAAGCTACCAGTGGAGGAGATCTTTGTGGGCTATACTCAGCCTTGTCTCAGGGTAGTAGGTTGGTGGTCTGTTGATATCCCTCTGGTGGTGTGTGAGCTGTGCTTTGGCAAAGTGGGTGGGGTTATATCCTGCCTGGTTGGCCCTGTCCGGGGGCATCGTCGGACGGGGCCACAGTGTCTCCCGACCCCCCCCCTGTCTCAGCCTCCAGTGTCTATGCTGCAATAGTCTATGTGCCGGGGGGCTAGGGTCAGTCTGTTATATCTGGTGTTATTCTCCTGTTTTATCTGGTGTCCTGTGTGAATTTAAGTATGCTCCCTCTAATTCTCTCTCTCTCTCCCCTCCCCTCCCGGAGGACCTGAGCCCTAGGACCATGCCTCAGGAATATCTGGCCTGATGACTCCTTGCTGTCCCCAGTCCACCTGGTCGTGCTGCTGCTCCAGTTTCAACTCTTCTGCCTGCGGCTATGGAACCCTGACATACTACCTTGTCCCAGACCTGCTGTATTCAACTCTCTCTTTCTACCACACCTGCTATTTCAACCTCTAAAATCTATGAACGTTTGAACATTTTGGAGAAAAATCTGGCCATGTAGTTATAATCTCCACCCGGCACAGCCAGAAGGGGACTGGCCACCCCTCAGAGCCTGGTTCCTCTCTAGGTTTCTGCCTTTCTAGGGAGTTTTTCCTAGCCATATTTGATGGATTGACATACTTTGTGGCATTGCACTTTAATATTTTTGTTGGTTGTAGTAGGTTTGTTAATTGTCTTTACATGTGTCTAAGTTGTCACTCAGTTTATTTATATGCAAAGTTGTTATCCACTTATCTCCTTCCTCCCTGATTGAAAACAGCAGTCAGCTGCACATTATGGAAATATTCTAATTGTTTGTTTTCTTAACATGAATTCTAACATTCCTTTAATCAAATAGTAAAACAAGAATTTACCATGGTTAACTCAAAATATAAATATGTACTTTATTTGAAATAAAAATCTGAACTACAGAACAAACAGTTTCCCAAATGGTTTATTTGTTATTATTGTACTTCAAGAGGTAATACTTAGAAGGTTATGGTAAGACCAGAATACAGATCGTTCATTTGTTCAAAATCAAACTTTTATTTAATAGCTGCAGAATTGACTACCAAACAGCTGGCTACATCTAGACCCAACGATACAATGAATACATATGAAAAGTTTTACTGGGCGATAATAACAGTTTCGAAGCAGTAAGTGAAAGACTAGGATGTTGCCGAGGTGAGTTCTGCCCGTGTTTAGAGGTACAATCCCTCTGGTGTCCCTTCCTGTTTCTTGTACAGCACGTTCTCCTTTGACTTCTTAAAGTCCTCATTAGTCACCTTCATCCTGCGCTCTCTCAGCGCCATCAGCCCTGCCTCTGTACAAATGGCCTGAGAGAGAGAGACAAAGTTACAAACACTAACAGTGAAAATTCATTAAGGTGCCACAGGATGACAGCAAAACCAGAAGGTGAAAGTAAAATAAATGTTTGGTTTCCAGAAAGAGGTGTATACAGTAGGCTGCATTTTCACAGTTAGTCTAATTACTATGTCCCAGCTGATTGCTGTAACGTCAGTATTGCACCTTGATGTCAGCTCCGGAGAGGTCATCCTTGGCCAGGATCAGGTCGTCCAGGATCACATCGTCTGCCACAGTCATCCTGCTGGTGTGGATCTGGAAGATCCTTCGCTTGGTCTTCTCATCAGGCAGGGGGAACTCTATCTTACGGTCAATACGGCCTGAGGAGTGGGGGGGGGGACACAATGATATGTCAAAATCAGAGGAGATGCCTCATGGGGCAATCACATAAGATCTCTCCAATCATTACTTGCGCAAATTCAGGATGAATTTAGGTGGGCATAGCCTGTATTGTATTTTCCATATGATAATGTTCTTGTGTACCTGGTCTGATGAGTGCAGGGTCCAGGGTCTCTATCCTGTTGGTGGCCATAATGACCTTAACATCTCCTCTGGAGTCAAAGCCATCCAGCTGGTTGAGAAGCTCCAGCAAAGTCCTTTGGATCTCCCGCTCCCCTCCTGAGTTAGAGTCATATCTGCAGAGGACACAGTACTCAGCACACACCCTCAACCACTGAGACACACCATACTATTGTAGAGATTACCTCCTATACATGGAGATTCATTGAGGTATACAAAACGTACTGTAATCAGTGTTCACTGTACTGCTAATTCAATCACTAAGCAATAGTGAAGCTAGTAAGCCTTGTCCGAGCCAGAAGTGCCCTTAGGGCAGGAGCCTATCTCCTGTTTCTGTAGAGATAGGCAACGTGATTTCCCCCAATCCATCTTAATGCTGAGTGCCATAAAGAGAGGCATTGGTCTTTGGTATGACTCGACCGGGGATTGAAACCCCAACCTTCCAATCTCAAGGCAAACACTCTAATAAGGCCACTGAGCTTGTGCAATAGCATTGTTTCCTTGTTATTTTGACATGGGCTGCATTTAGACAGGCAGTCCAATTCTGATATTTTTTCCACTAATTGGTCTTTTGACCAATCACATCAGATCTTTTCACATCAGATCTTTTTCAGAACTGATCTGATTGGTCAAAAGACCAATTAGTGAAAAGAATATCAGAATTGGGCTGCCTGTCTAAACGCAGCCATAAGCTCAAGATAATGTAAAACAGTTACTGACAACTGTTGTATTGGGGGGATGGCATGGCAGTTGGAAAGTGGGTTAGTTTGCACTTTCTCCCTCTGTGCAATAATGTAACAAAGTAGTCTATAGATTTTTTTGCATGAAATGAGCCTACTGTATTTTTTTTCATTATAACTAATTTACTCCTCATCAACAAATTACACACACAACCTGAAACCTCAATGACCACGGCCTGACTAAACAACAGCTAGCCTTGCCTCTTAGTCCCGATGGCATCGATCTCGTCGATGAAGACGATGGAGGGTGCGTGTTCCTCGGCCACCCTGAACAGCTCTCGGACCAGCTTGGGCCCGTCCCCCAAGTACTTCTGGATCAGCTCAGAGCCCACCACACGCAGGAAGGTCGCCGACGTCTGGTTAGCCACTGCCTTGGCCAGTAGGGTCTTCCCTAACACATCATAGGAACAGTGTCAAACTATGGCACTTTTAGAGGCGGTTTCTCTGACTAGTTTTGGACTACAAAGCAAGCTCAACGGAAAATCTCCATTGAAAATGCTTTTTAGTCCAGGATTAGGCTTAATCTGTGCATGGGAAACCACCCCTTTGAGTATTACCAGAGAAAATAAAGATATCCAAATTCTGTTCCGTCTTCATTTTTGTCCATCATTGTTTTAGTTGTCTTACCTGTCCCTGGTGCACCATACAGAATGACTCCTTTAGGAGGCTTGATGCCCATCTCTTCATAGTACTCTGGATGGGTCAAAGGGAGCTCCACAGACTCCTGAGAGGAACATAGAGAACCACAAGTGTAGTTGTCAATCAGGAGAAATGGTTACCATGTGTTTGATATCGTTCCATTCCAGCCATTAAAATGACTGTCTTCTGATTTAAAGGGATAGTTCGAGATTTTGTCAATTAACTAGCGTTAGTGCTGTGACTGGAAGTCTACAGGAGCAGCTAGCAAAATCTCTCTCACTAAGTGACACCAGCTTCCACTGACCCAGCTGTATCAATTTACATTAACAGTGTGCATACAGAATAGTTGGTTTAGAAAAATCTTGGGAGTCTTATGCAATAAGACGATGTGCTTAAGTAGAGCATTAACAATAACGTTTGCAGTGTACTCTACTTCTCTACGATCTCTATGTTTGAAAATGTTACCTTAATTTCCTGGATCTGCTGGTCCAGTCCACCAATGTCAGCGTACGTCTCCTGTGGAGCCTTCTCCACCTTCATCACTGTCACCAGAGGATCAGTATCATCCATCAGGACCCCAATGACGGCATGGACCTGTGAACGCACGCACATTATGTTCTTCTATCCTTGTGTGGACCTAAAATGTATTCCCATTAAAAATCTAATTTTCTCTAACCTAACCATAACCCTTACCCTAATTCTAACCCTAATTGTAACTGTAACCCCTATGCCTAAAATAGCCTTTGTCCTCATGGGGACGTGGGAAATGTCCCCACAAGGGAGAATTTTCCTTGTGGGGTCTTTTGGTCCCCATAAGGATAGAAGAATCAACCCACGCGTACACACACGTCACTCAAACTCATTGCACAGTAAATATGAGCTCTTCAATTAATGCTTATGACAGTCAGGCAACAGCTAAACACAGCAAATTCACTTGACAAACATGATCGGTCAATGAATGGAGGACTCAATTCACTTAATGGCAGACTCAGTCAGTACCTTGTGGTTGAGAAGGACAGAGCAGCCCGGTTCCAGCAGGTCTTTGTCTACGAAGGAGAGGATGCTGACATAGTGCTCAGAACCCACAGACGTGGAAACGATGGCGTGGTTGTCATCAATAATCTCCTCCAGGTTCCCCACTGACATGGGAGTCCCTCTCAGATCATCTACCTTAGACCTCTCCTCCTGCAGGACAACAGAAGGCAGAGTGGATGGGTGAATTAATGAATATTTAGATGCAAAGGTGCAGTGTGAAGGTTTTATAGTGTTATGTTTTCTAATGATGCAAAGAGATCAACTGATTTTACTGATAGGCTACATAATGTTCATATAACCTATGGTCCTGTGTTTGTTTTTATGTTTCCTTACATTTACATTTTAGTCATTTAGCTCTTATCCAGAGCGACTTACAGTAGTGAGCGGATACATTTTTGGTACCTTTTTTCCTTACTGGGAATCGAACCCACAACCCTGGCGTTGCAAGCGCCATTCTCTACCAACTGTGCCACACAGGACTTCGGGAAACACAAAATATAAATATCTAGGCTTTTGAATTGATTTTATTTTCTGTCACGTGATGAGTACCTCCTGTTTCTCCTCCAGGGGTTTCATCTGTTCCTGGTTCCTGATAAACTCCTCCTCCATCAGCAAGTAGTCTTTGATCCTCTCCTGCTTCAGCAGCTTCAGCCTGCAGTGTGTGTGGGGAGTTACTGAGAGAGAGAGAGAGAGAGAGAGAGAGAGAGAGAGAGAGAAGTCAGTTCTATGCAAAGGGTAAAACTGTCTAGGAAAAACAGCAGTTGTAAAATTGTAAACAATTTTCTGTCACGGTTTACAATTCAACATCAGTAGGTAGAAAGGAACTCTGCCATGACATAGTGAAAAGTGTAAGGTTAATAGTAGCCCAACTAAATGTACCAAGAGGTAGCTTGCTGGCAGCATCAGGTCCCTTGCTCTTCTTCTTCCTCTTACCAACCCTGGTGGGGATTGGTGGTTCATATTTCTTTTTCTTATCCTGGAAAGTCCAGCAAAAGTTACAGTACAGTGTGATCACTTATCCAACAGGAAGAGTCGGTGTGTACCAAACTGGTAAGATGAATATAAACGTTTTCAGAAGGTTGGGGTTAGTATTATTAACTAGGAACATTAGTTACGAGATTTGAGACAGAGTAGCTAGTTAACGTTAGCTAGTATAGATTGTTTACCTTGTCGTCTTTCTTTCCTCCCCCGGGTCCATGTCCTCCACTCTGACTTTGACCCTGTCAAATAAATCACGTCAGACAGACAGTGAGGATACACTCAAAAACACTTGGTAAAAGTAACTTAGTTGGAGTCCAAAACAATAACAATTTGCTAGCCATCAAGCTAGCTAGCAGTGCTAACAAGCTAGCTAACAGGTTTCCACTGGCTACAAATGACATATTGGAGTTGAAATGCAGTAAACACGTTCAACAAAATACGACAGTCCGGAATATGATCATCAGTTAAGGTTAAATAGTCATTAAAACCTTTAAAATTTTATGAATATTGATTGGATAAACTGCTGCCTCACTTACCATAGCTGCTTGCTATCAGACAGTCTATCAGCGTCGCTCACGTAAAACGTCACAGTACGGCAAGTGAAGCGCTTCTAAGCAGATGAAAACCCTGTTGTGTCTGTTCTGTGAGGACCAAATCATTGGTGAAGACGCTATAGTCAGAACATATGAAGTTTTCAATAAGTTGTTCTTCATGGAGATTCATTTGCATTTTACACCAATTCCAACACATCCAACATTTTATATACATATTTTTTATATCAATCGGCTCATGAAGCCTATCATCGTAAGATTAGGAATTTTAGAAAGGACATGAAAGGTCTGACAGTATAAAAGGTCAGCCATTTTGGTAAGGGAGTTGGTCAACCTTGGTCAGCCAGTGTGATGTGATAAGATATTGTGTATAACAATGCATTTGATTATTATCTGCACAGTATATTAGCTAGCTAGCTAGTTAGCTAGCCAGCCAGTTTGTGTAATGTTACCCGTAATGTTCCCCTGATGGTTTATTTCTCCGGTTTTCCATTAGTTACGGGAACATTCTATGTACATATGTTAGCAAAAACCTCCTAAGAACCTATTTAGCATATTTGGGTGTTAGAGAACATTCCTTTAATGTCAAACATTTATATTTTAGTCATTTAGCAGACGCTCTTATCCAGAGCGACTTACAGTTAGTGAGTGCATACATTTTCATACTGGCTCCCCGTGGGAATCAAACCCACAACCCTGGCGTTGCAAGCGCCATGCTCTACCAACTGAGCTAAACAGAACTCAACATGTTCTCAGAATAGACACGTTTCATAGGACGTTGAAAGAACATTCATGTGTCCAGTTTTCGGAGGGTTAGGAGAATATTCCATCAACGTCACACCAAACATACACAAAACATGGTTGCCATGTTCTCAGAATATAGCCTAAGATATTAATGTTCTATAAAATTTCATGGGAACGTTGCAAGAACATTCATGTGTCCAGTTTTCTGATGGTTAGGAGAATATTCCATCAACATCACACCAAACATACACAGAACATGGTTGCCATGTTCTCAGAATATAATTTATTGATGTTATAGACACGTTTCATGGGGCGTTGCAAGAACATTCATGTGTCCAGTTTTCTGAGGGTTAGGATAATATTCCATCAACGGCACACCAAACATACACAGAACATGGTTGCCATGTTCTCAGAATATAAGATATTGATGTTCTAGACACGTTTCATTGGAACAGCAGAGTATGTACTATGATTATTTTTTTTACGATGCAGGATGCTCCTGCCCCGTGTCAAAAACAATAACAGATGCACCTGGGCCAGTGGCACTGTTTCCCTTTATGTGGATATCAGTTTTAAATATGTGTGTTATAGCCTAATCAGTGTCAATCCTGTAGTCTGCAAGTGCAAGTTAATTAGAATATGAAGGGTATCTCTATGCCCATGGCACATGCACTTCTTTTAAACCTCTCAATACAAGTGCCTCTCCACCTTGTGAAACTTGGGAGATTTGTTGAAAGCATTAGCATTTCATAATGAGAGAATGTCAGTGAGATGCAGCAGCATCACATTTATCTTTTCAAAAGCCAGAGGGACATAAAACCTAATAATGCTCTACGATACGGTAAGTAAGTACACCTCCAAACTGATTAAATATGGAAATGCCTAGTGTTTGTTCAGTGAGGTCTGCGTTTGCTGCCGACATTTCCCAACATTAAGCCACTGTAAACCTATGAATCTAAGGGACATTTAAAATGAAAACTTCTGTGGAAGATGAATAAGCTTATTTGGAGTCATATATAGTGGGGAGAAAAAAGTATTTAGTCAGCCACCAATTGTGCAAGTTCTCCCACTTAAAAAGATGAGAGAGGCCTGTAATTTTCATCATAGGTACACGTCAACTATGACAGACAAATTGAGAATTTTTTTTCCAGAAAATCACATTGTAGGATTTTTAATGAATTTATTTGCTAATTATGGTGGAAAATAAGTATTTGGTCACCTACAAACAAGCAAGATTTCTGGCTCTCACAGACCTGTAACTTATTCTTTAAGAGGCTCCTCTGTCCTCCACTCATTACCTGTATTAATGGCACCTGTTTGAACTTGTTATCAGTATAAAAGACACCTGTCCACAACCTCAAACAGTCACACTCCAAACTCCACTATGGCCAAGACCAAAGAGCTGTCAAAGGACACCAGAAACAAAATTGTAGACCTGCACCAGGCTGGGAAGACTGAATCTGCAATAGGTAAGCAGCTTGGTTTGAAGAAATCAACTGTGGGAGCAATTATTAGGAAATGGAAGACATACAAGACCACTGATAATCTCCCTCGATCTGGGGCTCCACGCAAGATCTCACACCGTGGGGTCAAAATGATCACAAGAACGGTGAGTAAAAATCCCAGAACCACACGGGGGGACCTAGTGAATGACCTGCAGAGAGCTGGGACCAAAGTAACAAAGCCTACCATCAGTAACACACTACGCCGCCAGGGACTCAAATCCTGCAGTGCCAGACGTGTCCCCCTGCTTAAGCCAGTACATGTCCAGGCCCGTCTGAAGTTTGCTAGAGTGCATTTGGATGATCCAGAAGAGGATTGGGAGAATGTCATATGGTCAGATGAAACCAAAATAGAACTTTTTGGTAAAAACTCAACTCGTCGTGTTTGGAGGACAAAGAATGCTGAGTTGCATCCAAAGAACACCATACCTACTGTGAAGCATGGGGGTGGAAACATCATGCTTTGGGTCTGTTTTTCTGCAAAGGGACCAGGACGACTGATCTGTGTAAAGGAAAGAATGAATGGGGCCATGTATCGTGAGATTTTTAGTGAAAACCTCCTTCCATCAGCAAGGGCATTGAAGATGAAACGTGGCTGGGTCTTTCAGCATGACAATGATCCCAAACACACCGCCCGGGCAACGAAGGAGTGGCTTCGTAAGAAGCATTTCAAGGTCCTGGAGTGGCCTAGCCAGTCTCCAGATCTCAACCCCATAGAAAATCTTTGGAGGGAGTTGAAAGTCCGTGTTGCTTTTGTTATTGACCAAATACTTATTTTCCACCATAATTTGCAAATCAATTCATTAAAAATCCTACAATGTGATTTTCTGGATTTTTTTTCTCATTTTGTCTGTCATAGTTGACGTTTACCTATGATGAAAATTACAGGCCTCTCTCATCTTTTTAAGTGGGAGAACTTGCACAATTGGTGGCTGACTAAATACTTTTTTTCCCCACTGTAACTGCCATGCAACTCACTCTTTTTCTTTTATGAACACATATGGATGCTGATCTATGTTATCCATCCATACATTATAAAAGGCCGTGTACAGGCTAGGGGGAGAATTGGTCTGGTCACTCTGGACAGATGCACTTTGTCATATTCTCATTAGGAAGTAACTAATTAACTGGAAGACATTTTCACACCTGTTCTTCTGCTGTATTGTCCTGCATCTTGGAGTAAAGTACAGAAGGATGAGAAAATAGTTAGGGGAGAGAGCTTCTTGTAAACATGTAATCATCTGAGAATTGAGGTCGGCAACAGGAGAGAGAATTCTATAAACGTCATGGTTTGGTTTGTATATTTCTCTCTATCATCATACACAGATTAGATGTGAGGAACTAACATGTTGTGCTAAATCATTTCTCCAGTAGATGGGGATGTGTTACTGTATAAAAATAAAAAAAGCCCATCTATCCACGTGACCATGCTAGGACTGCTCAGTGGTATTTTTCCATTCTCTAACAGCATTCCAAGGCCAGACAACATTCTGAAGGTCAGTCAGTTCCCTGAACACTTACCCCATAACTGCACATGAAGACAACACAGCTACCTGGAAATACCTAACAGCTCTCATATGCCTAATATCCTCGGACTGGGGGGATTTAGCAAGCCATAGCAAGACGTGATATCACAATAAGCTCTGTGGTAAAGTTAGCATAGTCTTCGCTGACAGATAAATTACAATTGGTAAATGATGTGCTATCTTTCATTGCGACTCCATTGCTGATCACATTTGTGATGAGGCGTTATGTCATTCTACCGGTAGTTCACCAGTTTAGTGACCCACCATTGCAACCAACACAATATCACAGTATCTCCCAGTAACATTAAAATAATTTGATTGGTGCCTCTGATAGGGAATGCATACTCACAGATTTATAGCATTTAAAGACAAAAACCTTTTCATGACTGTCAGAGGATCTTTTTGTTTCTCTGACAGACCTTTTGTGTCTGGTGGTCCGGATGCCAACAGGGGCCGGAGGGCAGAAGATAAGGCATTAGCACTTTTGACACAGTGTACCTTCCCAACCTCAGCCCTATCCCTATCACCTGCAGCTATGGGGATTTCACTAGCCTTTGCCAAGTCAACCACTAAAACTCAGACTACTTGGACGGTGCTGTTCCTTTCAGAATAGAGTCTTTCTCTGCATTGAAAATGGTTGATTTTCTCAAGGTTTCACCTATTTATTGAGCGTGCCAAGAATGAGAATGAGCGGAGTTCATGTAGTTGGCTGGCACTGGAACTGCGCTTAGTTTTACATGCGCCTAAATACTCTTCTTTGGATTATGATATTATGATTGTGCATTCACATGTGTATCTTTAATACATGCATCATCAATTAAGGAACTAGATGGTAGATACAGGTACTGTAGCAGGCGTGTAGCAGCTTTCCCAACCTTTTACTGTTGGTCTCCAGTGCATCATTATGTGTCTAAGATTCTATTAATTAAAGCAGCGAATCAGCAACCTAGGATCCTAGACAACAGTACTTCCATTCTAAACCACAGACTGGAGAGATCATGTAAGATGTATGAGGCGCTTCACCTCTGTCACCCTACTCCGCAATTACTGAGGATCCCATGCCTCAACCCCTCAAATAGAAGGGCAGAGAGGGCCTGACTTGTCCTATTAAAAACTACTGTACCTGAGACAGGTTAATAACCATTTGGATATCCCCATCAGCTCAATTATTCACATGAATCTAGTTACTCTCACTCTGTAGAGATGTATGGAGGAC